AGACTATCTATGTATACCCTGGGATATATGGTTACCGAGTGTATATGGGGCGCATGCCTAGGCGCTGCTTAAACTTGCACAATGTCCGGAGGATTGGATTACGGAGGCGCGTTGTTGTTTTCCAGTTGGTTAGGTAAACATGATCTTGACTTGTCATTGTTGACGGTAACCGAGCTGAAACGACGCTGAACTACTTTTTGGCATCAATTACCTGTCACATCACAAATTGGACTCACAAATTATAAACATTTCACCTGCCAGCCCGAAACGCAACTGTGTCAAGCGCACAGGCCGCGAACCCTGCTGTGATACTTATTATTTCGACAATAAACCCTAATTATATTAGCCGAGAGACAGTTCCGTTGATATATTACCTCGGGCGCGGGCCTGGCTCACACAGCAGGCGCAATCTGTCGTTAACAAATCGCGGTGAAAATCATAATGGACGCTGGAAAATTGTTGTTTTTCTTTTACTCAACCTCTACACCCTATCGTGGCGCCAGAGATAAGATACAGATATTCAATTTTTGGAAAAATACAACATTTTTAGCATCTGATCTACGATCTTTTACAGTATGAACTATCCCTTTAAAAACTAGATCGATTTTATAGCCCATTTAAATGTTTTTCACAGCGCGCATAGAGAGAATAAGAGAACTTAAATAAAGTTGAAATGCGCTCGATTTAAATTTAAGATTGAAAAAAAACTGAAAGTAAGCTTTAAAAATTCTTAAGCACAGAAAATCTCAACTTAAGAGACATAAGTCTTCTACATAAGTACGAAAAGTACTGAAAATGAGCTTAAAAAAATCGTATGTACAACAAAATCTTAGTTTAAGAGAGTTAATTATCACTCAAGAGTACGAAAGCACGAAAATAAAACCCTAAATTAAGAGAGATTTAACTTAAAACAAGTTAAACTTTCGATCTACCAAAAATGAGCACGAACTCGAAACTTGGGTTTGAAGCTCAACAAGTTTAGATCTTACAACAATATTTTTCAAATCTTAAATCAAGATAAATAAATTTCAAAATAGCACACTCTACAGATTTGAACATGTTGAAAGTAAATATTCTGTTTATATTTCTGTCTATATTTATTATATTATTATTATTTATATTTTGGCTTCTGGCAAATATATGCCATGCATAGGAAATAGTCTTAAGTGTTTGGGTTTGGTTTAACATTTTGTAAGATCCTTCGCTCAGTGTAGTCAATAATTGGCCAGTCAAGGGCTCTTAGTCTAATCGCAGACAATATCAAATCAACAAAATTAGATAGTCTATCTGGCAAGAAAGTGGAACAAATCTATTGATTTGGCACTCGAGTAGAGTATGCCTATTTGCTGGAGAGGGTATTTGAGCTTCGTCTGGCTGCGGCACGCACTTTCCAGCTGGTTTTAATTTAGAGTCAAGCACAGAGGCTGTCAGGCATGACAGTCGACTATCAAAAAGCTGTCCGGATGGGATCCCAAACACAATTCAAGAGGGACAAGACGGACCGCTGACAGCTCTTGGGAAAATCTGAGAAAAGTCTGCGACTGCAAGACGACTTTTGACAACTGAAAAGTGGCCACATTTCTCTATCATTGTTGTTGCTAAATTCTGTTAATAGTTTTATCTCATTTGTTAGTCGACGGTGTGTGGGTAAAATGTACAACATTCACAAATGCAAATGGGCTAAAGAAATGGAACTGGCATGAGAACATTTCATGTCTTCGTATCTCTGACAGCATCAAAGAAAAACCACTTAAAAGCGGGCCCAAAAGGGGCAAGAGTCTCTCTACAAATGGCGCTTATTTCATTTGTTTTCTTTCGTATTTTTTTTTTGTTTTTTTTTGTGTAACAACTAAAAACAATTTGGCAAGGTGTCGGCTTAGCACGAGGAGAAACTCCACTTTTATGAGCTCTAGCTGTCCGAGAGATGAAAAAAAGGCGATGATAAATTTGTTGTGGCCAGCTAAGATGGCAGAGAGAACCCTCTTATAGCCGCATGATTAAATGCGGATTACGTATGCGCGAAAGTTGACGGAAGAGAACAGGTAATTCATCACCTGCGACTTAATGTCGGTCTGAGAAAAGCCTCAGATGTCGTGTCCAACTATCTGAAATGACATTCATACTGATACACTGATACAAAAACAAGGCATTCTTTGCAGCAACATCAATTTTTTCAATTTCTTTTAAGTATTTGCAAAAACTTATGGAAAAAGAAGCTTCGCACAAAATTGTCCCTTCTATCTATTGTCATGCCTCAAATGCACAAAATATTAAGTTCTATTTTTACTTATTAACAAGTAAGAGGTTTCAGTCGGGAGCTCCCGACTAGGGGATACCCTGAACCCTCTTCTTCCAACATCAAATGCATCAAATGCATATTCTATTTTAGAAGCTATATGTCAAGTTTGGTAACTCTAGCTCTTATTATTTACCAAAATTGCCCAAAAAACAGGATATCGATATCGATAACGGAGTAAGTTATCGATTATCGGAAACAAACTCGATCTGCGCGGGAACTAGGAGCACCTACATTCAAGGCTCTAGCTCTTATAGGTTCTGAGATCCTTGCGTTCATACATACGGACGGACGGACAGACAGACGGACATGGCTAGATCGACTCGGCTATTGGTGCTGATCTAGAATATATATACTTTATGGGGTCGGAGATGCTTCCTTCTGCCTGTTACATACATTTGCATTTTACACAAATACAATAAACCCTTATACCCATTTTTAATGGATTCATATCGATATCTAAAACTATATATATTCATACCTATTTCTATATCTATATCTATTTATATATCTATATATATTTATCTTTACATAAAATAGCAAGATTATAAGCTATGGCAAGATTTTAAACTTTATTATAAACATATTTCTTTGATTTTAACCAATGTCTGGTCAGATAATAAAGCACAAATGGAAGGAAATATAATTTATGTTTCTTTTGGCCATCATTGTATATGGACTCTGATATGCCATATACAGAACTTTAACAGACTATTTTGCACTTTGTTTGGAGTCGGAAATGTCAGCTAGACAAATAAAAAATGCCGCCTTGAAATAAATACGCTCGTCTAATGTAAAATAAGAAGTTCTTCGGGCTAGATTTGGTAATTTGAGCGGAAACCGGCTAAAATACAGTAGCTGTTCGTTTTGTTGACAAAATTGAAAGACAAATAAAAAAAAAGAAGGCAGCTTATATAAAGTCATTCAACTCCATCGAAGACCCTTGAGAATTTGATACAAATTGATACAATATGGATGTCTCTCTGTCTGTCTGTCTGTCTTTCTGTCTGTCTGTTGAGTTGTTTAACATTTTCACTGCTTTTGTGGATTGAAAAATGTGCAACAACAATAACAATCAAAACAACAACAGAGACGCTGACGATGACAAGGCCTAAAGTAAACTGAATATGGCCAAGTCGATCTCAGGCGATTAGACAGATATGGTAATACAAATAGACCTACATTGGGCAGACGCCTTACACGTAATTGCATTAAAATTGTTTTTTGTTTCATACTTGCTCAAAAAGTGAAAAGAGCATATTGGCTTTGTGGCATGTCTGTCTTGACATGCAGTTAGAGAGTTGAGTCTTAAATTTGCTCAGTCTTGTAGCTTGTTGAAATTTTGAATGAGAAGTAATCAGGCGATAGTTAGGATCATTCAAATATATATATATATATATATCATTCCAAATATATATATATTATTAGCGAATTTAAAATTGATATATAATATAAATAAATTCTCTGTAAGATCTTTAAAAATGATTTAGAAACCGAATGCACCGTCAACAAAAAAGTTTCATACACGCGTTTTTCGCGAATTTTCCACACATGCGGGTGAAATTGCTCCGAAACCCCGTCGTAACGTGCAGCTACATCACATAAGCTAACTATAGTGGAAATTTCCGATTCCTAACTCTTACGGTTTGGGCAGTGCGTAAATATATAATCTTATATAACACAAGCGGAATAAGCATATCATCTTATTTCGATACATTGACATCCTATAGTCCATAATATCGATAGATACATATTTTGAGATCTGGCTCATTAGTCATTTATAAAACCTACATGCACCCCATACTGGTATTTAGAAGATCTTATAGTATACACTGATCATCCTATATAGACATAGGTAGATCATATAGATTTTATAGAGACCTTCCCTATTTCTTCTATCTATCAAAGATAAAGCTTTGCGCTTTGGTATATACATGTATTTTAGCGTATTGTATAGTCTCTGAAAGTATCTAAAAGATCGGTCTATAAACAACGAAGTTACTTGAGGACGATTTCCCTGTAAAGCGGGTGTAAGGCAAGAAGAAGCGCATGTGTGTGTGTTTGCGTGTATGTATTGTGCGCCTGTATAGAGGCAGCTAGAGTGTTTCCTCAAGTCTTCTATTCTTCTGCTTCTTCTCTTTTTTATGATCTGACGAAATCGAAGTGGATATGTGAAGCTCGAAGTCGTTGGCTTCTGTCTGCATTCAATTGTTGCTCGCTTCTCTCTGCTTCTCTCTCTTTCTTCTCAGAGTCTCTCGCTCTCCCTCTCTCTCTAGATAAGTGCTGCGATAACGGCATGCTTTCATACGTAATTTGTTTTACGATTGGAAATTAAATTAACTTGTTTTACAGCCATTACCAGCGACAGTCCGTCTCCGTCGCCGACTCGGACTTGGACTCCGTCTTCGACTCGGACTCTAGCCATGCCCAATGTAGCTGTCGCTGGTTGGACGTCAGTTGATCGTTTGCCATTTTGCAATAATTTCTCATAGATAGCGTTCGTTTTGGCCAGGTAAAACTGTCATAATGACTCGGTTATGTGTGGGCCATTATATAAAATTTCACTTTTCGCCACGCGGCCAAAAAGGCGCGTCTAACCAGAGCGGGGACAATTTCTCAAAGAGCCAACGCCATATAATGAGTTCATTAATCGAATGATCACTGTACTGCACAAAATATTGGTCAATAAAGCAAGTGAAAAGTCTATTATACAAGCCCAGAGCTTGCCATGCTTTATTTATGGCACAAATCCTAGATCTTATTTGAAGCAGGGATCAATGCTGGGCAGCTTGCCGCTGCAGTACTTCCAGGTGGACCAGGCCTGCCAGCCCTGCTGGCTGAGCACCTTCTGAGCGCACCTGACCGACCTGGTGATATCATCCGTGAGCAGAGCCTTGCAGCTGACGCCGCAGCCGTTGCTCGACTTCTTGCCATTGGGCGGCTGGCACCAATAGCGATCGTTGATCTGGAAGATGCCGTAGTCATTGGAGCCATCCGAGTTGGATGGACCCACCACGCCGGTGCGATAGGAGCTCTCGTGCTCCGCAATGCAGGTCCACTTGTTCAGCTGATCCCGCGGCACGCCCAGCTTGGCCATCTCGCGGGCCAGCGAGCAGCGGTCCATGGTGCGACCCAAAGCCGGCCCAGCCCAGGCCAGAGCCACCAGTAGAACAACAATGAAAGATCCCATCTTGCAGTGCAAGTTGCCAGTTGCCAGTTGCGACTGTTGCTTGCAGCCAGCGTTGATTGCAGTATTTATAGTCGGAACCAATTGGGCAAATAATCAAACGATTCTTACAAAGATGTGGGTACAAATAAGTTAATTATGATATTTGCCAACAAATCCAATGTAAATACGGGCGATAAGAAGTTCATATTAACTTAGCCGATGAATCACACACTCACAATGCATTACGAGTCATTAGTCAAACGGGGCCAACTTAAAAGGCGTTGCGCTTGCAGCTACAAATGTATCTTATCTCTCATAGATTCTAGATAATATCAGGTGTAATACGTGAGCTAATACTTCAGATAAATATATTGTCAGTCTGCTATTTAACAGAATAATCAATCTATAGCAGCATATATAGCATATATAACATTCGAAGATTGTGAGAAGTTGAACTGGAGTTCGAACCAGCATGAAGTTCAAAAGGGACCCCCCTTTAAAAGTCAGCGTATGTCAACAATTTGTATTAAATTAAACTTTATACCAAGGCTGCCGACATTGCAGCTACTTTTTAATAGTTCGAACCAACGACTTCCCTTAGAGCTCAGTTCAACCACCCTAAAGTTCCGGCAGCGAACCTGCTAAGGAGGCAAAGAAGAAGTAGGCTTAAACAGACCTGTAGACCTGGCTAACCAATGCCATTAGACAAAATAATCTAGACTTAACAAAGAATAAAAAGAAAAAGTTCAATTCGTGAGCCTAGTTTTCGACTCGAATAAGTCTAGGCTTGAGCTCGAGCCCTGGCTTGCCACATTCTGTAACTTCATATCTATCAAACTTATCCAAACTTTAAGCTTAAGCCTAAAGAAACCAGTTTGCATACTTAATATGTAGATTAATTTTATTTATTTGAAATACCCTTGAGCTTATTGTGCACAAATTTGCTTAATTGTCTTAAAATTAAACAATTATTGGACAATAAGCCCAATCAGCATAAGATCTTTGCATGTTGAAGCCGTCTCCAACTAACAATGATATAGGGTCTCACTAATCTAATCACAACAACTTAAATATAATATAAATAAATAAAAAATATATATTTATATATCTGATTTGCATTGGGCTAGATAAGTTAAGGAAGAAGTTTCCAAATTTCCTGTTATCTATGCGAATTACAGATAAGCACCATTTGCGCAGCCAACCATACGAGTACTCCTACTCATACTCATGCTCATACTCATACTTATATTCACATTCATATTCATACTCGAATCATGACCTCGCACGCATGTTGGCAGCCACAATTATCTTTTCGACGTAACTAATTCCAAATATTTAGCCAGATGGCATTGTCTTGACTCGACTTGGCTCGGTGGGGTTTGGTGGGGACTGGAGGGGGTTTGAAGGGGATTGGCTGGGGGTTTTGGGTTCGGCGGGGCTTTGTTCACGCAATCTGTGAGGTTGCATGTTTTGTTGTAGTTATTTATTCATTGTGCGGCATTTGAGTTATTTGAATCTGAAATTGCAATTGAGTTTTTCTTTCACGTGCAGCTCGTTGGCCAAATTCCCAGCTTTTACAAGTTTAATGTCCGATCGTCGAGTCAGACGTGCTATAAAATCTATTTAATTTTATCTTGTTTTTTTTTTTTTTTGTCAGTTTCTTAGCTACTTGACTTCACTTGACTTGTGCACGCGCCGCCGTTTAAAATTCCAAAAAAAAAAAACTCAAAGATCTTAGTTTTTGACAAAACACACACACACACACGCCTTATCAAGTAAAGTATGCCATGACTCTTGCAAATATTTAAAAAATGAAAAAAAAACTCACATCAGATATCATGGGCATTGACAGGCGGTTAGAGGCCCTTTCTAAGTTGCCCAGCAGAAATCAAATAAAATGAGACCTCACGAATCTCAAGCCCTGGCCCATTGTAGACATAACAACAATTATGCTAATCAGGCCCAATGAGGCCTTTACCTTTCTCTAACTAATGCAATGAACCTTTGTGAACAATGTTGAAAGAAAAAACAACAAGTTTACACATGATCTTGTGGAATTATTAGATCATTAACAAGAGATTTCGACAAGTTGGCGTATTTACGTCACATGGAACACTTCAACATATGGCGCAATCCTGCTTTATATAGTATATAGTCTCAGGCTGTTCATTGATAAAAAAAAAAAATAACTAAACACAGGTAACACTTCAAAACGGCACACTTGAGTAGCTCAAACAATATTGATTAATGCATTCAAAAATTATGCCGAATATTATATGCTGCGCAATAGAAAGATGAAATAAATAATCTAGCATACACATAACATAAATATAAATATAAATATTAATATGTTTATGTTTATGTTTATCTACCCATTTATCTACATATTTATTAGTTTTAAGCCTCCTTTAAGACAACAGGGTATTTGACAGTCGTCCATGTCGCTGCTTATACAATTTTTGATTAATTAATTTTTGTTGTTGTTTGCAATTTGTTGTCTTTCATAAAGTTTCTAGAACAAAGCAAACTTTGTTTATGCTGATAAGACAAGGCTTTGATTAATGCGGTGCAACAAATAAATAAAATAAAAGTAACTTTAATCAAAAGCGATTAATACAGTTTTATAACTGCATGCGCCAATTGCAAAAATTCACTTTTTGAATCAATTGACAGTTGACAGACTATCTGGCAACACGAAATGCTCTCAATTGTGCGTTCAGCTGGCTGCGCATTAATATTTCAGACTCATAGCTTAATTTGATGTGTACACACTTACCTCGCCTTTAAATGCATTTCCATTAGGCGCTCTTATCTACACGCTGCATCGACTGCGACGGCGACTGCGGCTGCGGCTGCTGCTGCTGCTGCTGCTGTTTGGAGTGCCCGTCCGTCATCTTGTCATGCTCTGCGCCTCCTGATCTCAATTTTGTTTTTATTTTCTTTTTTCAAATTGATTTATGCAAATTCAACGCGGCTCGCTCGTTTTCAATTTTCGTGTTTTTTTGATTTTACTCCGATCTTTCGACACTTTTTCTTTTGGGGCCTTGAAAGCTGTACGCGCTGTGGGAAATGCCGGCGTATTGCAGCCAAACATATCGCTAACTCTTTGCTGCTTTAATCATTAACAATTACCCGTGGACATAGACCTCCCGCACATGCCGAGGTGTGCGTGCGGACGCGGGCACACCTGTCCAAAGAACCAAGAACTCGAAGCAGCAGCAGAAGAAGAAGACGAAGACACTCGAATGGCATGCAGCGACGTGACTGATGCGTTTGATTGATAAATAAAATGAAATGTTGTTGAAGCACGTCATAATTTCAGCTCATTTGCATATGGCGACGCGCATTGACAGAAGTAACCGTTAGAGCGCATTTACAGTTAACGCTGCATTCAGTCTTGAATCTCTCTCGCTCTCCCGCTCACGCTCTCCCGTTTATCTGCGCGTCTGGCAACAGTGAAAGTGTGCGCCTTTTGATTCCGATTCGTCTATTGACATGTTAATTTTTTTTCGACAAGATTTTCGCTAACGCACAAGAAAATAAATAAATAAATAAAAAGAAAACCCAAATTGAGTAACAAATCAGCGACCGTTGGCGAGATGCGACGTTTCCATCTGGCGCGTTAATCAGTTGACAGACGCCGAAGGAAGCGGCCGCAGCCCACAGGCCCGTCGCCGGGTGTCATTGACAGCAACTGGCTAATAAAAATATATATAGAAATAACTCAGTTGGAGCCAGAAAATGCTTAATAAACTGAATGTCTTGTTTTTCCGGTGCGTTACGTGCGGACGCGGACGCACAGGCCAGATGCCAGTTTATTTTGAATGCAAATTTCGAGTCAATTTATTTAACGACTCACGTTTTATTTTCTCCTATTCCAGTGACAGCTCCACGCTGCAGCGACACCAAACGCAGATGGCGCCCAGCGTCTGCGAAACCTCGCCCAAATTGCCGCCACACAATGCTGCTGCAGCTGCTCCTGCTGCCGCTCCAGCTGCGGCTTCCGCCAGTGTCAAGTGCGGCGCCAGCAGCTTGAGCGGTTCGCTGGCTTCGTATAAGATGGCCGGCTCGGAGCAGAGCTGGCCGCAGGCGCCCGTTTACAGCAAGGAGAATCAACGTCCGCCCGTTTACAATGCCGAGGATTATGTGCTCTCCCTGCGCAAGTTTACCAAAGGCAGCGGCTCCGCCAAGGTGCAGTCCATCTACGATGTCAACATCAATGGCCATGCCAAGGAGGATGCCTACAAAGCCGCCACGCTGCCGGCCAAGCACTCCGGCTACAAGTAAGTGTGTGTCCTGGTCTGATGCATCCACTCGACTTAAATGCGCCCTCTGATCCACACAGAAGCCCCATTCCGGCGCCGCCGGAGAGCGACAGCGAGATGTCCCTGCGTCAATTTGGCTCCATAACCGATCTGCTGACCAAGCTGCGCGCCGATCTGAGGGTGTCCTTTCCCAGGTATATATGGAGCCGAAGTCGTCTTCCTCTTACCCTTTCCATTTCCCATTTTCCATTTACAGCTTCGTGCAGGAATTCGTGGCCACGCCCTCGGATGGCATTAGCCATCTGCTGGAGGTGCTGCGCGCCATCCAAATGGCGCAGGCGAGCAATGCGCCCGCTCCGCTGGCGACGGCCACCAATTCCCTGGCCATGTCACGCAATCCGCAGAGCTATCAGCGCCGTGCGCTGCTCGACGAGCTCTCCTGCCTGTGAGTAGATCCTGAATCCTCCTGCTGCTGCTTGCTAATTCTCTCGCCCGCAGACAATGCCTGAGCATTTGCTGTTCCCGCTCTCTGGATGCCATAGCCCGTTTAGGCAACACACCGGTCGGTCTGATGCCGTTGGCCTCCTCGGCGACGGGTCAGGGCATACGCGGACGGATCCTGGCGCTGCAGCTGCTCGCCGCCGCCTGCGATCGCCAGCCATTTGGCCAGGGCAATGGAGGTCAGAAGATCAGCGCCGCCGGCCACACGGCCGTCTCGGAGGCCATGTCCACGCTGCGGCTGCGCTGCAGCGAACCGGTACGCTTCCGGCTGCTCATCGGCATCCTCAACAGCGGCGGCGGCTCCGGCGAGCTGCAATGCGCCGGTATCAAGTGAGTAGCAAGTGGGGGAAGCCCATCCATCACCTGGCAGCAGCTGCTCAACGTACGCTAATCCCTTGCAGATTCCTCAACACGTTCATCGAGAGCGCCGTCAGCCTGCAGCAGCGTCTGTATATCCAGGCGGAGCTGTGCCAGGCTGGACTGGAAACGGGCACGCTGGCCCGTACCATATCCTCGTCCTCGCCCTGGCTGGACGCGCTGCGCGCCGAGATCAAGCGCTTCAACGAGCTGCACATCGATGTGGACAAGATGCTGGCCCAGGCACGCGACGCGGATCGTGTGCGCAGCCAAATGGTCATCCTGGAGCGACGTGTCCAAATACTGCATGAGGAGAAGACGGTGCTCACGTCCATGGAGCGACGCCTGCAGGAGCGCTGCGCGGAGCTGCAGCGAGAGATCTTCCGGCTGCAGGGCGCACAGGAGTCCAATTTCAAGCCCGTGGAGGCGCATCAGCCCGTCGCCCTGCCGCGTCAGGTGCCGCCCAACTCAAAGACGACGGCAGCGGGTGCGGCGACGGGCAGCAAACAGAGCTGCTCGGAACACGAGGATGAGGGCATCAGTAGCTCCGAGACGGGCGCCTCGCTCAGTCCAGTGCCCATCCTGGTGCTGCCCACCAAGTCCAAGCGCAAGACGAAGCGCGGGGAGGACAAGGACGAGGATGACGATGCAGCCACCATCGAGGACGTCATCGAGGAGCTGGACAACATAGTCAGCGAGGCGGAGAAACAGATCTCGCGCCAGGCCGCGACAGCCAAGCAGCATACACATCCACGTCTGCTGGAACAGGAGCAGGACATCGTGCCGGTGAACATTGTGCCGCAGCCGCCACGGAAATCCCGATCCTTGGCGCATCTGGTGCCGCGCACCGACTGCTCCGACCAAGAGAACTCCCAATACGGCATGCTGATGCCGGGCGACTCGGCGGCCGTGGAGCGACTGGCCGCCATGCAGACCTTCTTCGACGAGGTGGACTACGAGGCGACGCACACGGATACGCATGTGAACTACACGCTGGACCAGCCCTCATCGGATATGCCCGAGGCGGAGGCGAATGCCACCGCGACGGCGTACAATGCGAGCACCAATCGGGAGCTGCTCGACGTGATTATGAATGCGCGACACGATGAGCACGATCCGACCATACTGGCCCTGAGGAACAGCAGCCAGGAGGCCGGCAAGGCGCCAGCACCGGCTCCGCCGACGCCGCCCGCCCAACACTTTAACGGGGTCTTCTTTATGACCGGCATGAACACGCCCCAAAAGTATCCAAAGCCAGATCTCACGGCTGCGCTGCAGGCGCGACGCGTGACCAAGAATGTGGAACGCCTTGAGGCGGCCTTTGCCTCCGGCTCTCACGATGGCGGCCACGTCGATGCGGCCATCGTGCGGGAGAAATCCCGCAGCAATCAACAGATCTATTTCAGCAGCAATCCGGTCATGCGCATGCACGACTATCCCGGCTCCGGCCAGCTCAATGGCAACATATCCGCACGCACGCGCTCCTATACGCAGGGCTCCAAGGTGACGGACCTGCCCTCGGGCTTGTACTGAGGCACCAGAGCTATGCCAGCTCCTGTGCAATACAAACTCCACCCTTAAGCTTACGAATATATATTAATTTTTTTAATATTATGCAATTTTTATTATCATAAATAATATTTAGTATTTCGTAGCGTAGATTCGGTGGCAGCTTCAATCGGGTCCCTTAGTCTTAAGTCAGTTGGAATTAGCTCATTTCCAGCTAAAACATTTTTTACTTTTATAATATCAACTATCAATATTTATATTTTGCAAACGAACAATAAATACTTTAGTAGACAAAACAAAAAAAGTTTTTTTTGCTGCAAGGATAACAGCTAAAAATTTAATCATTTATAATTCAGCCTCTCTATGCGATTCTCATGAATGCATATGAGGCTTTAGAATTGAATCTTGTATAATTCAGCCTCTCTATGCGATTCTCACGAATACATATGCGGCTTTAGAATTGAACCTTGTATAATTTAGCCTCTCTATGCGATTCTCATGAATGCATATGAGGTTTGAGAGAGGAAAGAGGGTGAATATCAAGAAGAAGGTAGATAAAAAGACCAAGAGAGAGTGAGAGATATTGGCAGAAAGAAAGAGAGCATCACAATAATTAGTTTAAGCATTCATTTATTAGAGTTAAGAGTCGAACTTAGAAGCAGTCGTTGATGGAGGGCAGAGCACCGTTGCAGTACTTCCAGGTGGACCAGGCGGTCCAGCCCTGCTGGCGCTGGATCTTCTGGGCGCAACGGACGGAGTTGGTGATGTCGTCGGTCAACAGGGCGTTGCAGCTCAAGGCGCACTCGTTGTACGAGAAGCGTCCATTGGCAGGCTGGCACCAGTAATAGTTGTTGATCTGGAAGATGCCGTAGTCGTTGGAGCCGTTGTAGTTCTCAGGACCGACCACACCGGTGCGGTAGGAGCTCTCGTGCTCGGCAATGCAGGTCCACTTGTTCAGCTGGTCACGAGGAACGCCCAGGTTGGACATCTCGCGGGCCAGGGAGCAACGGTCCATGGTGCGACCGAGAGCGGGGGCGGCAAAAGCCAAAGCAACCAAAACAATGAAAGCCTTCATGATTAAACTTCAGTAAACTGATGTCGCATGTCCCGAGAGCTCGTGCTTTTATAGGCCGGGAATATCTCAAAATGGACGCTATCTGCGATACGGAACACGCCACGGCACAAAAAAACTTGCAGACCTTTTAATCAAACGTGTGTATATTTTCGGCGATCGCAATTAATATTGAAACTGATAAAATAATATATATTTAAGATTCGAAATCTCTTTGCGGCAATCAATTATATAAATGTGTTTATTTACAGTACTTAGAGATAAAACGAACGAAAGAGTTGAATTGTTGTTAAAATTACAGGATGTCAAGAAATGCAATTTCTATATTTATGTTTATCCATAAACATAGGTAAATACATAAATGTTGTATTTTGAACTGAAATCGTTATGCCAACATATTTAACCGCCAAAGATTTGAAATTGTGCAGTTTGAGAGTCACAGGCTTTTGCAGTTTACATCGATATCGAATCGATAGACGACATATTGTGTTATTTTAGCAGCTGAAAGCAGTTCAATAACGTATATTTTGACTTTACAGAATAGTTATTGTAGCATGTATTTTCTGTTATTAACAGTTTTCGCCTTTATAACAGTTTAAAGAAATATGAGTTCGTTGCTCGCTGCTATGAGCCTCAAATGAACCAGCGAATCAATAGAACGAATCGCACAGGAACGAACTTGTTATTAAAAGTGATTCGTCTTGCCGGAGGGCTCGTAGTAACTTTAAGCAGCAGGAAAAAGAAAAGTACAAATTAAAAGTGATTTTGAAAAAGTGCTTAAAACATATTTGGCGTTGAACAAACGACGGCGAAATGTTTAATGGTTAGCTGTACATTGAAGCTACATGTATTTTTGCTACTTTCTTTTTTTTTTGCAACTCAATTGTGCAACATTGAACTTGACAACAAGAATAACTGACCCAGACTACATACACACGCACAATCAGAAGAAGAAGAAAAATGTAGATAATAGTAAAAGCCTATATTGATTAACTAACAAACGAAACAAGTGAAACAGGGAAAGAACAGAAAGAAAGTGGCATTAAAATGCAAATCTAGTTAAACGAATGGAAAAAATATGTCAGCAAATTCTTTGCATATTAGAATCGCACATGAATTTCATGCACAGCACAAAGCATATAATCTGTCGATCTAGTTGAGTCACGGTTGAATCGCTGAGACGCTGATGAGGGCGCATTTATACCCTGTCCCAGGCGTGTGTCATCGCGGCTTTAATAAGCCAATTGCGACATTCCTAAATCCGCAAAAAGAAACAACAGTTATGCAGTGTTCGACTTAGAGATGGGCGCGTGAGTCACTGTTCGGAACTATTCAAAGAACCTTTTGAGCTTTTCCTATTTGAACAATTAAAGTTAAAATTGTTTAAATAAGCATTCAGGAGCAAAACTTAATTAAATTATAAATGATTAGCTTTTTTCTATAGTTCGCAAATTTGTGTTATTAGTGGGCAAATCGTGCGTGTTGGGGACTCAAACGAAAACACGAACAAGTCACGCACTAAAGGGGTAAACGGAGCACGCGCTCAGCTCTAGTTCTTATGCTAATGGCATTTTTTTGCAGGGTATCTGAGCTTCGCCTTACAGATTTATGCAACTGTTATTGCCAGCGCTTTGTGTAGAGAATCGGATGTTGTTATTGATTTGTCGACTGCATTTCACCGTCGTCTCCCGCGCTCTCCCTCTCTCTCTCTCTGCCTCTTGTCTGAGTCGCAGTAATTTAGAGAACACCTTCCACGTAATTGGGCGCATACCAAACTAACAATTGACATTGCTATACATTTATTTCCTGTAGGTTCATCGCTTACACACTCAAATCTCAAATCGCACTGACATTTTTGACCTCCACATCCATACATCATAATCAAGATTCCAAAGTTCAAATTCGCATCAACATCAAACAGTATATACGGAAGCCATGTCTTGGATGGCCTTTGGAGCGCTAGCCTCCGGCTTTGGTATTGCCTATAAATGTTCCATGTTCATTGTTGTTGTTGTTGGTGTAGTTTTTGTTGTTGTTCGTATGTCCCGTAGCTAGCCCAAGTGTTGCGTCTTTAGTTAGACTTCACAGTACCCTCACTAAATATCTGTCTCTTTGTAGTACTGCAGCGCCTGCTGGGCGGCGATAATCCGCCGAACAAAGTCGTGGAAATCAAGAGCGAATCCCTGGGCACGCTGCAGGTTATGGCTCGGGATGATGCCATGGTTCTGTTTGCGCCGCCCTACAACAGCAACGATAAGCGCGCCGTTTACGAGATCGTGCTGCAGCGACCCACCTCCGACTCGAACACCAGCTCCTTCAGCTTGTACCGTTCGCCGTTGCAGCAGGAGGCCGAGGAGAAGTTCAACACCTTCATGCAACGCCTGCCCGTCTTTGTGGGCATTGTCAAGGAGGTAAATTAGCTGCCTTAACAAAAATCTTCCCTTGTATTAAATCCTTCTCGATTTGCAGTATTACAATGTGAATGGCTTGCAAAAAGTTTGCGATGCGCTCTCGGAGAATCCATCGTGGACGCTGGCCCATTTGGTTGCCTACTTCAATCTGATCGAGTACATTAACAATCCCAAAGTGCTGCAGTGCGTCGATGTGGCCGATCATACAACGCTCATGTCGCCCTTTCAGCTGGCCATTAAGCAGGGGAATATTGAAATGGTGAAGCTGCTGCTGCCGCTGAGCAAAATCGAGCATCTGGACATAAACAGCAACTCGGTGTTCCACTATGCCGCCAGCACTACAAAAGATATCATCAATGTGAGTCGTGCTCCAAGTTAGCCTGGTTAACTCAACTCTCAATGTAACTCTTCCGCTGCAGCTGCTCACCGAGAACAGCACCGTGAATCTGAATCATCTCAACTCGGATGGATATACGCCGCTGCACTTGGCCTGCGTGACGGACAAGCCGGAGAATGTTAAGGCTCTGCTGCTCGCCGGCGCCGATGTCAATCTGAATGCCAAGAATATAAGCAAATTGTACAAAACATCAACGCCCACATCGGTGGCCTCCTTCCTACGCACCAACGCCAGCAAGCTCTACACGCAGGACATGAAATATGGCGGCACGCCACTTCATTGGTGCTCCTCCCGCGAGACACTGCACGCCCTCATCATGGAGGGCTGCGATGTGAACGCGACCAATTTCGATGGACGCACCGCATTGCACGTTATGGTGGCGCGCAATCGTTTCGAGTGCGTGGTCACGCTGCTCGCACACGATGCCGACATCGATGTGCTGGACAATGAGGGCAATGCCGCTCTGCACATTGCCATCGAGAAGAAGCTGGTGCCGATTGTCCAGTGTCTGGTGGTCTTTGGCTGCGACATCAATCTGAAGAATACAGCTGGCAAAACGCCGCGTCATATGGTTGGCAATGATGCCAGCGGCAACAAGGAGGACGAAATACTCTACATATTGCACTCGGTTGGTGCCAAACGCTGCTCCGAAGCCAATTCGAAGTGTCCGCCGGGCTGCAATGCCAAGGGCAGCTACAATGGCATACCGCCAGAGCCGCCCGAGTCGGTGGAGAAGCGCGAGCACATTGAAAACATGCTGGCAACCACCAGTCGCCAAATGGTTGGTGGTTTTCTGGGCGCAGCAGCCAATGGCATCATGGAAAAGCAGCTGCAGCCACCACAGTAAGTACGCCCACAGCTTTGTCCTGGAGTATTACGAATATATCTTTGCTACACAGAGTTCCCGTCGTGGTTGATACGGAGAAGGAGCAAAAGGGCCAGGGCATAATGGACGCACTCCTGGGCATGTTTACCACCAAAGTGAATGCGGATGAGGGCAAAAAGGTTAACTCATCCAGCAGTGCAGCATCTACACCGGGTGTCGCTAGCCCGGAACAGCTGCCGTCGCCAACATCACCCATTGCCGCCGAGGTGGGTGACAAGCCATACGGCCGGGGTCGTCTGCTCTGCCTGGACGGCGGTGGCATTCGCGGCCTGGTGCTCGTACAAATGCTGCTCGAGATTGAGAAACTATCGCGCACGCCCATCATACACATGTTCGACTGGATCGCCGGCACCAGCACTGGCGGCATCTTGGCCCTGGGTCTGGGCTGTGGCAAGACCATGCGCCAGTGCATGGGTCTCTATCTGCGCATGAAGGAGCAGTGTTTCGTGGGCTCGCGTCCGTACAATAGCGAGTACTTCGAGGCGATACTCAAGGATAATCTCGGCGAGTTTAACGTTATGACTGACATCAAGCATCCCAAAATTATGGTCACTGGCGTTATGGCCGATCGCAAGCCCGTTGATCTTCACCTGTTTCGCAATTACACCAGCGCCAGCGATATTCTGGGCATTGTGACTTCCATCAGTAAGCGCCAGGCGAGGATATCTCTTTCCATCAGTTCAGTGCTAATCCGCTTTCTAATTTATCAACCTTAGGCAATCGACGCATACCGCCGCCACAGCCGGAGGATCAGTTGGTGTGGCGTGCCGCTCGTGCAACTGGAGCAGCACCATCATATTTCCGTGCATTTGGGCGTTTCCTGGACGGCGGGCTAATCGCCAATAACCCCACACTGGATGCCATGACTGAGATACACGAATATAACATGGCGCTGCGCAGTGCTGGACGCGAAGCAGAGGCTGTGCCCGTCTCGGTCGTTGTTTCGCTGGGCACGGGTCATATACCCGTCACAGAACTCAAGGACATTGATGTATTTCGGCCGGAAAGTATCTGGGATACCGCTAAATTGGCCTACGGCATTTCTACGATTGGTAACGATCCATTCAAGTGAAATGGTTTTTATTTAGATTATTTATAATTTGTATTTTTCTCATGCAGGTAATCTACTTGTGGACCAAGCCACCTGCTCGGATGGCCGTGTCGTTGATCGCGCTCGCGCCTGGTGCAGCACCATTGGCATACCCTATTTTCGTTTCAATCCGCAGCTGAGCGAGGATATTGCCATGGACGAGAAGGATGATCAAAAGCTTATCAATATGCTGTGGCACACCAAGGCCTACATGCACACCAATCGTAACAAAATAATTGAGATGATTAATTTCTTGAAATAGCGCGCAAGACGGATTTAGACCGCGACCACATCAGCCCCAGCGTCCTTTGCTCCTCCATATAGCTAATCTCTTTTAGAGTTTACATTTTTCACATATGTGTATATACTTTTAATATTTTAGACAACATTTTCCAAGCAACCCTTTCCGCGGTCTAAATCACCAACACGCGACGCACATCCAACCATTAACACACCGAATATTACCAAATTTAAACAAATAAAATGTTTGAATTATAATGAAGCCCAAAATAAGATTCCATCTGATGTCGTGGGGCGCTTTGAAATATTATGTTAATGGTTAAGAAATTTAGAAATTTTGTATCTGGCGTTGCATTACTTAAATCTGTATTATTCTTATGCGTATTTATTGAATGAATGTTCCACGTTTTATGCCAATTTCATTGTAATTTGTATGTTTTAAACATTCCGTGCCGCTTTGTTAGTTAATAGAAATACATGTGCAGGAATTTTGAATAAAACGTTTTAAATGTAAAACAATTGACGTTTTAATTTTTGCTAATAAATGCAATGAATGCGTAACCCGTACAATGGCATACCTATATAAATTAGTACAGGTAAAAATAATTAATAAAAACGTCTTGTTTAAAAGTTTAACAGCTTTTCATGCTATCAAAATATACTTAAGAAATTTCGATAAATCAAAGCAATATATAGAGATTTATATTTGGGATCTATAAACGATTTGGATGAAATTCTGCAAATTTCCCGATATAGTGGAAAACCTTTCAACACAAAATAAATAAATATTCGATACGCGGTCAGTGCAGAAAAACAAAAAGCTTTTCATGTTTTTGCGATATTCACGAATTGGCGCAGCGTTGCCACCTGGGTGGCACGCGCTGGCAGCGCCAATCACAACGCGTTGGCAGCCTGACGCACAAAATGTAAACAGGAAAAAAAATCGAGAAAAATACAAACAATACAGACAAAAGTAAGAAGCGCGTGAAGAAAAAGATAAAAAAAAATTTGTGTAGTGTGTGCAGACGAACGCAACGCAATAATCATTTCAAATAGCAGGTGAACGCAACTAACGCACACACGACGGCCATGTCCAATGACCGTGTGGACACGGGCAAAGAGTTGCCAACGCCAGTGGCACAAGAAACAGAAGCAGGAACAGAGCTGCCCACCATGTCCATGCCCACAATGCCAGTGTCGAAGGGTATTATGATAACGCCGCCACCAGTGATGCCACCAACGCCAACATCGTCGCCCAATACACACGGCGAATGGCCGAATCTGAATCCAAATGCGAACACATTCCTGCTGAGCAGAGACAGAGCGGGGGAACGGGAACATTTCGCCCTACCGCATCTACCGCCATTACCGCTTAACGTTGACTATCTGCCGAGCCTGATACATCCGAGCACACTGCCATCGAGCAGCAAGAGCTTCAAGATGCGTCCACGCATGAAGCGTCTGATGTACTGCAGCTACAACAACATATTAACCGAGTCAAACAATCGCAAACTGCGCACCGCCGCTTCCACCTGCAATATCGAGCTGCTCAATCGGATACTGGAGTCGGGCGGCAATCCAAATGCCGCCGACGAGTTCAATCGCAGTCCGCTCCATTTGGCCGCCTGTCGCGGCTATATACCCATTGTGCAGCAGCTGCTGAAATATGGCGCAAATCCGAATGTGGTCGACTCGCTGGGCAATACGCCGCTCCACTTGGCAGTCATATCGGCCAGTTCCAATAACTTCAATGTGGTTGTGCGTGTGCTGCTGCAGGGCGGCGCCAGTGTTCATATGTACGATCGCAGCGGCAAGTCGCCCTTGGAGCTGGCGGAGGCAAAGTTGCGGCTACTGCGCAATCGTTACGATCATCCCACGCCCGAGACAGCCACCATTCTGGAGGATATGTGCATGCTGACCACGCTCATATTACGCTATATGGTCAAGCAGCAGCAGGAGCTGGAGGATCTGTCGGCGCTGGAGAAGCGCCTGCAGAATCTCAGCACCAGTGATGATCAGGAGCAAGTCGTCTCCCAGACAGCTGACGAGCTGCTCGCCAGCGTCGAGCGTTTGTCCATCAACAACAAGTAGAAAGAAACCAGGCTCAAATTCTGTTTCGATCAGTTGGGTGAGTCCATGGGACACGAAACGATTTTATCCTTTTCTTTAACTTTAACTTTAACTTTTCAGTTTATTTTACGTTTCCTAATTTGGCTGCCGTTGAGATAAGAGTTGGATTTGTGGAACTAAACTCTGGATGCGCACCGGAGCACAAATACACGGCCAACGCTCACACACACACACACGAACACACACACACACATTGTTTCATGCGATCTTTTTTATTAAGTATTTCATATAAGTTTTCATTGTTTATGCAAACAAACAACACACACACACACACACACACACAACCAGCAAACAAATATGTTTAAATTTTAAGCTTTACGTTTAGCGCGCCAAAACAAAATAAAATTTATGTAATAAAGATGCAATTTACGACTGCAAACCACACAATTTAAACAACTTATCAAATGCAACATAACAATACATTTAACTAAGTGATTGCAATAATAAACAACAACAAAATATACACACAATTCATCAAATGATGTCCACAGACAACTAAAAGATACTTTGAATAATAAAAAGAAAAAAAAGGGCAAAAGAAACGGGCACTAAAATTTAACTTAATATTAAAGCAGGCTTATTATTAATATAGACGATCTGATAAGGCATTGAGTCTATTCTACAATAGCCTTGTATCTGTAAAGGGAATGAGAATATAAAAAAAAAAGAAGGGCGTTGTTATGTCGCGGCCGTCCAAGAATATACTTCCTACATACATATGCACACACATGCGTAAATATTTGGATAAACGTATTACTCCGCTATTTTGATTTTTTCAAAAATATCGATACTTTAACAGCTGTTCGAGATGTCATCGTTGCGCATAAACAGAGTGACCAGCCGTCAAAAGAATTGAGCGTACAGAGCGGAGCTTTTTTTTGCGATTAATGCAAGGGAATGGTCACACTCAATTTGTAGTTTAAATTTTGCTTAAGCGCTAACAAAAAATAAATGTACTTAATCAACCACTCACCAAACTTTCGCTGCAACTGTTTATCCGAAGCTACAAAATAACAGGGTGTAGTACGTGTTCGAGACAGTTTCTCAATATTTCCATTTTCCCATTCTCCTAAGAAGATTCCTCCATTGGCTGCAGGTCGATGGAGCATTTTGTTTTTAGGATTACAAACTTTTAACTATATATATTACATATTTTCACACTCGAGTTGAACTTGATGTTTATATACATGTATAATAAAACGTTGCATTTTACACACTTGGAACCTTCATCATTTCAATTTTGCATATATACAAGCGGTCGTGCAAATTTGAAAAATGTGAATACTACATAATTGTAACTCTTTCAGTTCTGTTGCTAAGATTTGAATTGGTAATGTAATGTTTTGCTAGCCAAACTGGGTGGGCTGGGAATGTTATTTATGGAGGTAATTGTTCAATTGTTTTTAGCAAAGTACTTTGTTTTCTCCTCCGGATTGGGCACAATCTGCAGGAAAATATCAATTAGAAAAGTTTAAACGAATGCATTATCAGTAAATACTCACTGTATCGGCGCCTGGTTTCCAACCGGCGGGGCAGACCTCGCCATGCGTATCAGTGTACTGGAAGGCCTGCACCAAACGTAATGTCTCATCCACGGAGCGACCCACGGGTAGGTCATTCATTGTTATCTGCCGCAGCACGCCACGCTGATCAATAATAAAGAGACCGCGGAGCGCATGACCACTCTCCTCCAGATAGACACCATAGTCCTTGCTGATTTTATGCGTCAAATCGGAGAGCAAGGGTATCTTGACATTGCCCAAGCCGCCCTCCTTCCGGGGCGTATTGATCCAAGCCAAGTGCGTAAAGTGCGAGTCAACGCTGGCAGCAATCACCTCAGTCTTGATCTTACGGAACTCGGCAATGCGATCGGAGAAGGCAATTATCTCCGTGGGACACACAAATGTGCTGCAAAAAGCAGTAAGCTATTAGTGAAGGCATCGCCCAAGTTGAGGGCAACTTACAAGTCCAGCGGATAGAAGAGCAGCACAACGTATTTGCCCAGATATTGCGAGAGTGAGAGCTGTACAATCTCCTTGTTGACCACAGCGGTGGCCTCGAATGGTGGCGCGGGTTTGGAAACTGCAAGGAAAAGGGAAAAGTCAGTCAGTACGAACAGTTTTGTATATATTATTATGCCATAATTTCAGCCACTTACTGACTGCCTTTGTGTACTGCAATTGGTGATCGCCCTTGTTCTCGCCGGCGGGATACACTGAGCCACCGGCAAATGAGTAGCAGGACTCGTTATCCTCGCTGGCCTGGGCGAGTGTCGCTGCCGCGAGCAGCAGGAGCGCTAAGCAGCCGTAACTGTACATATTACTACTGGTTACTGGAAATAGAGGACACGTATAATTTGGTTAAATGCACGCGATTGGCCACATTTACTCCAATTGGACACGCGACGCCTTCAGTTTCTGCTACGCCCACACACAAACACACGCACACACATACACGACGCACTTTAGAGCCACGCAGTCAAATTTAATATTTCTGGCTCCAACCACAAATACCGATTGTCTATTGAGCAATTAAAGGGGTAGCGACAATTGATAAGCGCTATCAATTTTATTCGCGTGCATTAAGTGCTATAATATATTTTGTTAGTTTGTCGATCGAAATTTTCACTGAAATTTAACTCAATTCACAAGTGTATGCGTTGCGATTGTGCATTCAATTTCCTTTCCGCATTCAATCCTTCATTGATGCAGATATCCAGTTTACACAGATGTTACCTGATATATACAAAATATAAATAACTTTAACTCGTACAATTTTTGTTGATTCAGCAAACAAAGCACACGAGCAACACTTTGCCGGCTAGTGATGTGCTGACTAAAAACTATCGCATCTTGCGTGCTTCTGTAATCGTTCAGCATGGCACGAATAATTGATAGTGACGATACTTATCTTTAATGCTTTTTTCTTAAGAAATAATTAAATAGGTATACAAAATTATTGTCTCCGTGAAATAGAAAAAGGGTATAGTGAGGGTTTGTAAATGCCTGTAGGCATAACGTTCATTGTAATGAAAATCAATTCCTTTCTGCTTTTGCAACATGGCAACTCTGTTCGCTTGATGATTCAGTTACGCGGGCGATTTAAATGTGCAGTTGAATAGGTCAACATAATTTTTTGTATGCCAGCTCAGAACAATACATAAATATTTGGTAAGAGACAAAATTAAAAAAAGTAAACAATAATATAATAAGGTATTGGAACATATTTATCACGTGCGACGCTTAACAATCTCCATATTGGCCAATTTGAGGATGCGATTGAAGTCGACTTTAGTATGTGCGCGCCAATATTTGCAACGGCCCCACATGACGGCCGGATAGTTTGGACTCGATATGCCGTGAAAGAGGCGCGCTATGTTCCGTCCACTGAACGTATTGTCGGGATACATGTTGATGAGCGCATGCACATCATCAATTATGTGAGCATCCGGCACGTTGCTGGGCTGCAAGGATTAGCAAGAGTTACATAAAGCAGGAACTAGCCGTGTTGCATGAACCTACCTCAATTTCCAGTTCCAAATCCTGTGGATAATCGTTGCGGAAATAGTTGCGCACAATGCCCTTCAGCTGGGTGCAGCGATCCTGCGGAAAATCAACACTGCAGCATTGCGCGCACGAACTGTAGGCCACGGCGGACAGGCCATGGGCCACATACTGCAGCTGGATAAGCTGAGTGCGCTCCTGTTTAACGGACCGTGTGTACAGCGTGTCGAGGGCGTCATCGATTTCCGCTTCCGTGAAATCACCCGGCGCCTTGATCCGAAAGCCCAGATCATAAAAGCTGACACTGATGGGCGAACGCTTCGGATAGCCATTAACTAGAGTTTAGATGAAAGGAATTATGAGGATTTAAATTACATGGATAAGGTGCACCATATGTACCCTGCATCCACTCCAGGTTCTTGAGCTGATACTTGACTACGCCGCTGTTCCAGCCAATGCCGGCGGCTATGTCAATGACGGAAAACTCAATTATGTTGGCGTCCTCCTTGAAGGTCTTGTGCTTAATCTGCAGCGCAATGGCCATGGCCAGCGGCGGGCACTCCTTGGCGGCGTGTCTAAGTATTAAAGAATTAATTATAAACATGTCGACTATTAAAAGATTTACTTACTTGAGATACTTGGGTCCACCGTAAGAGATCACCTTGGCCATGATGTACGCGGAGCTGAGCACGTTCATGCACCAGCGCGGCTCCAGTTCCATATAGCAGAGCAGCGTGGATATGTTTTCGGCGGGTATGTCCAGCGCTTCGACTGTTTGCTCCACCGAGAAACCAATCTCATGACCTGGGCAAACATGTGCACGTGCGCCATCAGCCGCATCCGCTGGCTCAATTGCAGTTCCAATCTCTGCGGAGTTTTTGCCTAGCTGCTTGTCGCAGCAGCAGGGCACAAAGATGCGCTGCAGCAGTTTGCGTATGACATGTCGATCAATGGAATTGGCATAGACATGACGTCGCAGCTCGTTCTGATCGCCGCCCTTGGCGTCCAAGAAGAGATGACAATGCGAGGGCAGGCCATCGCGGCCGGCACGTCCGATCTCCTGTACATAGCTCTCGAAATTGCGCGGCATATTATAGTGTATGACGGCGCGAATGTCCGGCTTATTGATGCCCATGCCAAAGGCAATGGTGGCCACCACAATGCGCAGCTCATTGGCCATAAAGGCGTTCTGTACGGTGCGACGCCTCGAGGCGAGCATGCCCGCATGATATGGCTCCGCCTGCCAGTTGACGCGCTTGCGCTTCTTCTTGGTCTGCTCGGGCACTGCGTTCGATTTGCGCTCCTGCAGGCAGGTGCGTATGAAGCCAGCAATACGCTCGCATTCGTCCCGGCGCGTGCAATAGATGATAATGGATTGACAGCTCTCGAATCTGCAAGGGCATACAATGAGGGTCCATTCAATAATTGAAGTTCCATTTAAAAAACTCACCTGGGGCTGTTGAGCAGCTGCAGCAGCGCCGCATCGCGGTTCTCGTCCTTGGACACGGACAGTATGAGATTGTCCGGCAGCGGTATATCGCTTATGATGCCACGCTCGCCATCCACAATGCCCAAATGATTGATGATGCTGATGCGCGTGGGCAGCGTCGCCGTTGCGGTCAGGCCGAGCACCGTTTGCACGCCCAGATTCTTCTTGAGCACCTTGCATATCATCAGGTAGCTGGGCCGGAAATTGTGGCTCCACTGCGAGACGCAATGCGCCTCATCGATGCAGGCGAACGCAATGGGCGGCAGCTGACGCAGAATGGCACCGAAGCCCGTGGCACGTTCGCCAGAGACCACCGCCTCGGGCGAGACGAGCAGTATATCAATTTCGCCATCGGCTATCAGCTGCTGGATCTTGAGACGCTGCTGCGGCGTTTGATTGGTGTGCAGGCAATGGGCGCGCAGAAAATGCGGCACGCCCGTCACCTGATCCTCCATGAGCGACACCAGCGGCGATATAACCAACGTGATGGCACCCTGCCGGCGACTATATAGATAAGCAGGCAGCTGATAGCACAAGGATTTGCCGCTGCCCGTGCTCAGGGTGACCAATGTGGACATGCCGCTCAGTATGCGCATCACAGCACGATCCTGACCTGCAAGCGAACGGGCCAATCAGTATTAATTCAAATAGTTCCAAGTGGAGCGCTTACCCTTGCGAAAGCTGCTGTGTCCGAACATGTGCAGCACCTCGTTCACCTCGGGCGTCAGCTCCTGCACGCTGCCGTCCGCATTGAGATCGTAGAGTGGCTTGACGCCGCCGTGCTGCGAACGAGCTGCTGCTCCATTGGCTGAGCTGCCATCCAGGCCGGCCTGCTTGAGGAACTCCTCGGGTATCTTGTGGCCCACATAGCTTTTGATGGGCGAGGTGTGCGTGGATTGGCTTTGAGCCGCATCGACAGCCGCATCCAATGCCTCGAAATCGATATCTTCATCATCGATGGACATGTTAACGTCCTCAGCAGCACGCTCGCTAGGCTCAGCTGCCTCGTCACTGCTGCTGCTGGAGTCGGAGAACTGGTAGATGGCATTCGCGTTGGCGGCCTGTGGCAGTCGCTCAATGTTGCGACTATGCGCCGCCAACGCACTTTGTGAAGCCATTTGCTCGGCCTCGGCCAGCGTGGGAAACGGTGACGGATCCTCCTCCAGCTGGGCGGTTAGCGGCAACAGCGCATCGCCCTTTATCTTGCACTGCTGTGCGAAATGTCCAACGCCGCCGCAATTGAAGCAGGTGAGCACGCCACCATCGCAGCCGCCCATGTCCATGTCCGGGCCGGTTAGGGCTGCCACTCGCTTCTTGTGTCTCCATTGGGTTTTCTTGTATTTGGTAAAGTTCATCGATTTCTTGCCACGTGCAAATTTCTTCTTCTGTATGTTGATGGTCACAAAGTTCTCATTCAACTTGCCCGACGCGATCTTGTCCTGCAGCTTTTTGCGCGCCGCATCTCGCTTCTCGTTCAGCTGTCCTGCAGAGGCGGCGGCAGAGGAGGAGGAGGAGGAGGCAATGCTGGCATAATTGCTGATGTAGCGCTGCGCCGTTTCATCCGCCTGGTCGAGCTCATCCTGCTTAATGCGCGGCACGCAGGTTATATCGCCCGACTCCAGCGCTAGCACATATTTAAGATCTTTCGGATCTAGTGGCTGCTCCTCGGGCACCTCCTCCGCCTGGGCAGCCATTGCCTTGGTCGCGGCTTTTCTTGCGGGCGCCTTACGTGTTTTGGCTGACTTCTCCAACTTAGACCCGGCTGCTGGCTTCTCCTTCTTTGGTTTGGGCGTTGGTTTCTCCGACTTGGGTTTGGCTGCCGGCTTCTTTTCGGCCTTGGGCTTTTGCCTCTTCGCTGTGGCCTGCTTGCGTTTGGTCTTCTTGGGCAGCTCTGGCTCATAAGTGGCATCATTTTCTTCATCTGCTGAGAAATCCTTGCCGTATTCGTTTTCCTCCAATGATTCTGCTTTGGCAATGGTTGGCTTCTGTTCGGCGGCGGCTGGCTTTGGCTGCACATCAGGCACAGCTGGAGGCGACTCGCTGGTGGGCATTACTCGGCGTCGCTTGGCTATGTGCCTGTACTCCGGCTGCTCCGTTTCCTCCTCGCTTTCGGCCACAACGGAATCCGAATCGGAGTCGAAACGGACTGCAGCTTGAGCTGGAGCTATTGGCGGTTCCTGCGACACTTCGACAGGGTTTTCTGCCGCGGGCATTTGCGATGCAGTTTTGCTTGCCTTCAGCTTGCTTAAATCTAAATTGGACAGCCCGTAGTTGTGCTTCTTGGCTGGCGTGGCATTGTTGTTCGGCTCGGCTTTGGCTGTTGTGCTCGTCAGCTGCTGCTCCAGCGAATTTTGCGCCGTGTTGCGCTGCAGCCAGCCCTCATCCACGTGCGTTTTAATTGGCTCCTTGCCGTGATCGGTGGCTGCAATGACCTCTGCTGCCTTATGTTCCTGCGCCTTGCGGATGAGTATGGTTTCCAAATCGGGCAGCTGCTCTGCCAGCTCAGCGCTTGCGCCAGGGTTGGAGCCGGTGGCGCTTAAGTTGAGGGCGCTGCGTGAGAGCGGCTTGCGAGGATTGCGCTTGGCAAAGCTGCGCGTTGACTGAAACAGTTTGCTGCTGACGCTGGCCTTGATGCAGGGAGTGCGCGGCTTGGCGGCGTCCGCAGACGTGGGCGATGTCTCCACAACAATCGGTTGATGTTTGCTTACGTTCTCGCCCCAGGCACTCTTATTCTGGGCCAGCTCTTCGACAGCCTCGAATTTACGTATGACATGATGCTCGTCGCGATTGGTCAGATTGCTGAGCGCCTGCGGAGTGGGCAGCTCCTTGATATTGGAGAAGTTTTCGCTGGTTTGCTGCACGAGCGCTGTTATATCTAGGGGTAGCTGGGGACCGCCATTGATGCTCTCGGTGCTGAGGCTTTGGTCCAGCAAGGCAACACCCAAATCCTCGGACTGCGTCATTTCTAGCACATCGAAGCCATCCTCGCAGAGCACATCGTTGAGTGTCTCCTCCAGGAATGATGTCTTTAGCTTATAGTACATCTTGTAAGAGTCGCGTATATCCTGGCTGGCCTCCCTTATGTCGTACTGCAACAAAATAGTAATAAATTGAATCGCGTAGGGAACTCCATTGCCTGGCGCTTACTTTGGAGGGGACGCGGCCGTGCTTCTTTTTGAAATCCTTTTCCCATACTTTAACGCGTAGCTTGTACTTTTGGTATTTCTCTTTAAAAATTGACTCGTCCATCGTTTTTTATTTTTGTCTACATTTAAACACAGGTAAGCAATAAACAAAAGCAGCACACACAATCATAACACACCTGTTTTTTTGCTGAGCGCGCGCTTTTCTGCAAGCCAATGTCAGCGTTGCCAGACTGTTGCATAGGCAGTGTTTTAAGGCAGTGCGCGCCAAATTTGAAATTATGTTCATTAAAAAACTCGGATTTGAATCTGCTTTCGCTGATTGACTGTTTGATTGGTAGCTGGATGGTTCATTGTTATTACCTTTGGTGATGTACGATTTTTGCGATCATATTGAGCACATTTTATTTTACACTTATCACAAGATCCACAGTTCTGGGTGAAATTAAACAAGAAATGTTCGGAAAAAGGACACTTGATCCGAACTAAGCCGAATAACACTAGATAGTTGATATTTTGCTGCGCGTGTTTGGTTTTATTCAGTTTATTCGTTATTGTTTTTAATAGTATTCAAGCTTAGCAATTGCAATAGAAAAATGCATTCCACACATTGACACTGGAAACGTTTGGAAAAACAAAATCAAAAATTCTAATGTTGCGTGCAGTGTACACAGAATTCGTTAAACGAGGAATTACAAGATGCAAAATATCAGAGCGTTAGCGAGCGCAAATTTTGCCTATATACTTAATTCAATAACTAAAGTTCGACTTTTAAGACCAGGAGCGCGAGGGGATTGAAATAAACGTGAATACGGCGAGAATGTGAACAAGTTTTGTTTCTATTTTTTATAGCGTGCGAATAGTGCCTTTTGGTTGCGGGTCTTGGATGGTACGCCGTACGCCTCCTACATGAGTATCAATGCAATGTCCTCAGGCTGCATGGACGGGCAACGCCAGTTGTACAAATAGTACTGCAAATTGCCATCGCCGGCACCAAACTTGAGCGGCACAAAGAACTTCTTGTTCTCCATCAGATCGAGGGCATTGTAGACATCCATCTGAACGTTGCGCGCCGAGATCAGAGCATCGTTCATCAGATCTAGCCAGGGTGTCTTTGTGGACACATTGTAGAATGAGTAGGCGGCGCGAACAGTCTTGTGCACGGGATGATGCATCACAGACGATGGCAGACAATAGTAGCTAGTCAGATCGGTAATGTTGCCCTTCTCGTCAACGACAACAAAGCAATCGACAATGCCCTCTTTGGGTGTGAACCAATGACGGAACTCCTCTCTGGTGAACACCGGGCACATGGAGAAACGTTTCAGATACTCTTCGAGCAGCTTGTGCGCCTTGTCCATGTCCTTAGACGTGATGCGGCGGTAGCCCTTCGTTTTGGGCTGATCGGGCAGTTTGTAGAGCTTCACGGTGCGCTGCATGGTCATGTTGCGTGCCAGATGGGAGAAACGCACATCGACCAGCTTCTTGGGGTTCAGCGAACGATGCCAGTAGCGGCAGGTGGACACAGGCGTGGGCAGCACCACGCCGGCGGTATAGGCAGCCTGAAAGATGCCCTTGAGATTAACGCGTCGCGTTATCTCGCGTATTAGCACCGGGGCGACACGCTTGCTGCGCAGCTTTTTGTGCACGCACAGAAAGTTGATGTCCACGACCTTGAGCACCTTATCGTAGGCGCGCAATTTGCTGGGTATGGCCGAAATGAAGCCAACCAGCTTGTTGGACTTCTCGACACGCACGCCCACATGCCAGTCCCGTTTCCAGCCGGGCGGCTGCAATGACCACTTCAGAAACTCTGGCTGATAATCAAATCGAAACATGGCATCGTCGTCCTCCACATAGTTCTCGTTCAGCAGCGTATAGAGCTCCTTTAGGTCGCTGGCATCGTTCACATCAAGGGTGACCCAGACGAAGCCGCTGGGCAAGGTGTACGGCTCGGCGCGTATCTCGGCAATCGCTTTGTTTGGCTCGATGCACTCGTTTGTGGTCACCATCTCGTTCAGCTTTGGCACCGGTTGCGTTGACCAAAATGTAAATTTCTTAGCCTGTTGCCGGGTGAGGGCCACGGCATCGGTGACCGCCTGTAGCAGTGCCTGCTTGCCTAAAATTTAGGAATACACTTAAATATTCATTTAAAAATGCGCCGCGGAGGAAAGCATGCACACACACATTCATAATATATATACTCCTGGCCTGGCCGCACAACCTAACCTCATTCTGTGTGCGCCTCCCATTCCAATTGGATTTATGCACTTAAAATACTTACTAGAATCTGACGGTATATTGGCGCCATTTTTGGTCAGCGTTGAATGATCCGCTGCTGCTGACTCGTTCTCATCGCTATTGCTTGTGCTTGGCGCTGACCCTGGTGTCTTCAGTTTTAAGCCGGCAACGGCGCTTGCCAGCATTTGTTCAGATGCTGTTGCTAACTCTTTAGCCTTCTGCTGCAGTTCGTGCTCACTGTTATCATCTGGACTGGCTGCGGGCGCATTTTCGTTCGGCATTGCTTTGTTGCGCTTAAGGTTTGTAACGGGTTAATAAATATACGAGCAAAAAAAATAATTGCAATGAAATCGCAAGACTACAAGCAGCTGACTCACTGACGCAGCTGCCAGACTTTGCACATAAAATAGACAAAAATTAATACTAACACTAAACCAATTGTGGATGCGGTCACTCTAATTGCAAGTTAGCTGGCATTCGATACCTTACAGGTTATACTACATTACCTACCGTTATAATGTGGAATTGGCCATCAAAGAGTAAATCCAAAAATGCAGCTATAGTAACAAATTAGTGTAAACAAAACGATAAGTGTAATATTCTCGCTTTAAGTGAAAAATATGTTCAAGTACGACACTGCTAAGTAAACAAACAATAATGCTAAATATCGATAGTTTTGCAGTCTCTAATATGAGCAACGACGGGAGCTGACGTTGAATTCAAATTCCAGCTCCGATTGCCAACTATTCAAGCCAGCTCTTTAACAGTTTTAACAACATGCGGCTACAAATTGCATCAGAACAGCGAAAGCAATTAACTAAAGTTATTTAATACATTAAGTAATGCGAGTTTTTGATTGCGCGTTGAGCGAGCCCACAGAAACAGCTGTTCAAAGAACAGAAAACAGCTGAGCGTAACTCGGTGCGAACAAAAATTACATCGCTTGCTGTGTGGGTAAACAAAAGTACGAAACAAAAAATAAACATGCAATGTGGATGTGGGACGCACACTTGCTGATAAGAACAAACAGCGCACGCGAAGAGCGACAGCGTCTCGATTCTAACATCAACAGCCGCAGTTGCCGTCACAATGAGTCTGACAAAAAAACGCCTTAAAATTGTTTCGGCCGCCTCAATAATCGGCCTGGCACTTATCTATTTGTACAAAACTGTGTTTGCGGCATCCGGCAGCGAGCCGGGCGGCAGCCCCATGCTCAATGCGGTTGAGGAGCAACGCCAGTGGCCACCCACCGAGGATGCGGTCGAATGGAATCTGCAGATCGCCTACGAGACGCAAAATGCGCTGTTGCATCAACAGCGTCAGGAGCTGCTGCAGACGAAGAAGCAGCTGGCCCACCTGGAGGAGCAGGTGCGCTCCCTGCAGGCGAGCACGCCGCGCAAATACCCGAAAGTCAAGTATCTGAACTACAAGAATCGCAAGCGTATTTTGATAACGGGCGGTGCCGGCTTTGTCGGCTCTCATCTGGTGGATTATCTAATGATCCAGGGACATGAGATCATTGTGGTCGATAATTTCTTTACGGGTCGCAAACGCAACGTGGAGCACTGGCTGGGCCACGAGAACTTCGAGCTGATCCATCACGACATTGTCAATCCGCTGTTCATTGAGATCGATGAGATCTATCATCTGGCCTCGCCCGCATCCCCGCCGCACTACATGTACAATCCGGTCAAGACGATAAAGACCAACACAATGGGCACCATCAATGTTCTGGGCCTGGCCAAGCGCGTCATGGCCAAGGTGCTGATTGCCAGCACATCGGAAGTGTACGGCGATCCGCAGGTGCATCCACAGCCCGAGACCTACTGGGGACATGTGAATCCCATTGGTCCGCGCGCCTGCTACGATGAGGGCAAACGCGTCTCCGAGACGCTCAGCTATGCCTACGCCAAGCAGGTGAGTTCCAGCCGCTGACGTCATTCCGATTAAGTGGCATTCATTTCACGATTCCATTGCCAATTCGAATATTTGTAAATGTGCAGCGATGCATTAAATATTTTCCATTGAAGGCTAACAAAACAAAGGCAAAAACAACAAATTAGACGACGCGCAGATACTCTTACGGAACTTGATTGGTATTTCTTTCATGAATCAAATATTATCGACAGATATTTATGTTTGGTTAAGTTAAAGCTTTCACTCTTAAGTGTGGAATACGGGGGAGATCTATGATAAATCATTTGAGCAGATAGTAAAATATTTTCACTCACACAGATGAAAAATAAGTGGAAGAAAAACCACGTGAACCGTAAAAAGCCGATAACTATAACGTATTTTGATTTTTTCGATAAGTTATCAATTAACGCGGATTTATCGAAATCCACATAGATGGGTGGGAAATAGGCGAAAACGGTTTATTGCGAACATAAGAAAATCAGACGAATAAATAAATAAAAATCTACAAAGCTAGTGAGAAGTCGTACATACCCTTAGGAGGCAGCTAAGTCGCATAGAGTTCCGCATGCCAACGCATTAGTTGAGTGCGATAAAGCAGGGCGATAAGATATTGAACACATGTTGAGCACATTTATCCGATCGTAGTTAATGATGCCCTCCATTTGCTTTCAGGAAAAGGTGCAAGTGCGTGTGGCGCGCATCTTCAACACGTACGGACCACGGATGCACATGAACGATGGCCGTGTCGTGTCCAACTTTATACTGCAGGCGCTGCGGAACGAGACGATCACCGTTTATGGCAATGGGAAGCAGACGCGTTCGTTTCAATATGTATCAGATCTGGTGGATGGCATGATAGCGTTGATGGCGTCCAATTACACGCAGCCGGTGAATCTGGGCAATCCCGTGGAGCAGACAATTGGCGAGTTTGCGAACATCATCAAGCATCTGGTTGGCGGGCAGAGCGAGGTGAAACAGATCAAGGCCATGGAGGATGATCCGCAGCGACGCAAGCCGGACATAACGCGGGCCAAGAAGCGTCTCAACTGGGAGCCAAAGGTGCCGCTCGAGACGGGTCTGTTGCAGACCATATCGTACTTTCGCAATGAGCTCGCGCGCAGCGATCGATTCCAGGAGAACTCCAACAAGTACTTTGATTCGCCCGATCTGCAGCGCAGTCGACCGTAAACCCAAAGTAGACCCCCAACAATATCAATAATATTTGTGTGCCTGTCATAAAACCAATTAATGTAATTGGCAAAAACACGTCTCTAGTCTGCAAAATGTAAATATGACCAACGATAGCGCTAATCTTATGGCTTCCCAGAACCCCATCCCCGATAAGCACGCTCTCGACAGTCTCCAACACGTTTGTTAACGAGTCTATAATGTAAGCAACAAAAGGGTTCCAGTTATCATCTAGTTGATATCGATTCTATCTATACAATTAATTCAATTGTTAAACTTCATAATTCATCGTTGCAAACGGAATACCCTATGCCAAAGACAATATATTATTAACTATTTATGTTGTCTTTGCCTAAACTAACATTTATAATTAGTTCATAAGTCTGCCTTTTACGAGAGATGCCCTTGCAGCTGGTTATGTGAATTTCATCAAAATCTAGGCTGACATCTCCAAGCCCATAAAATATTGTAATGTATTGATTATGGATAAGTTATGGTCATGTCCGACTGTCTGTCTGCTTTTATGCAAATCAATTTCTTTGATATGAAGCTGACTTCATGAAGCTTGGTCTTTTGCCGCAGTCATGTCTGAGTCATGGAACAAGATTCATATAGTTATATAGTAACTATTCAAATTCAAACAGACTATTAGGGATCGAAGGTATAACGATTGGTAAAAACTTTCAGTTTGGGATGAAAAACGAAATCCAGCAAAATCTCTCCCTTAACTATGCTCCTCGCATACGTACTAAAGCTAATTTTATGTAGCTCTCATAGCAAGAGTCGCTCACAAAGTAATCACAAATTCAAGAATTTAACAATTGATAATACCTCTGAAATTCTAGCAATAAATTCTCAGACTATACACGAGCTAGCTTTCAAAGAAACTATGGATCGTAAACAGACCTTAAAGCTATACAATATAATAATATGCGACCAATATATAATAACTTACAATCGGTATATTAACTATATATAAATATGTTGTATAACTGCTATAAACTAATCTCTGCAAGGGTATTCAATCTTCGGTTTAAACACACACCGAAGTGAAATGTTCTTTCCTGTTACATGTTAGTCAAGTAGTTTTGGTAGTTGATTAAATGGCTATTTAAGTTTTCAATACGATGTACTCTTTACTCTACGCACACATACACAAACACGCTATATACACTAGTTATGAGCTACACCTTGAATGCTTACAAACTGGAGATTAGCAACTAGTTTAACTTAAACCGATATTTGCACCTGAACTTAGAAGCTAAATCGACTGACAATTTGATGCTGCTGCGGCTGTTGGGAGTTGCTCCTGCTTGTGGTTGGGATTCGCTTTCACCTGGCCAGCGGTTCGAGCATCTCGAGAAACAGTTTCTTCATGTTGATGTGCTCGTCGCGTGCCACGCCGCGCCAGAAGCGACGCAGTATGTCGTCCGCCTGCCGCAGCGAGGGCAGCAACAGCAGCAGTTGCTGCTGATGGGACACCGCGGACGAGTGGCGCAGCAAGTAGACAACATCGTTGAGCGAATTGAGTATGGTATCCCGGAAGGCACGCAACGAGCTCTGATCGTCCAGCAGTATATCACAATTGGACAGCAGCAGTGCCTTCAGCAGATAGTATTCCTCGCGCCGGGGCGAAATGCGCTCCATGCGCTGTGCTATCTGGACACAATGATAGTAGAACTCCGTATAGCCGCACTCCTTGGCCAGCAGCTCATCCATCCAGACGTCGGTGGCAAAGCACAGTTTGCCATTGAAGGGCAACGAGCGAAACGTTAATTGCAGCGTCAAGATCTCGGCCCAAGACACTTGGAGCAGCTTCATCTGATCGTTCAATGGCAGCTCTATAAAGCCGGGTATCTGCTTGGCCCAGCCTATTACGCTGACCAGCTCCTTGTCGTAGAGATCGCTAAGTACACCAAGTATTTCGTGCGGATCATTGTTGTTGTTCTGAAAAATGCAAGTGCCATTCGGCGTGCCGTTGCTGCTCTCCAGCTTCACGCTGCCGGACGACGAGGAGGCCTCGTCATTGCAGCTGGTCGTGTGCGGCTGCTGCTGCTGTTGCTGTTGTTGTTGCTGCTGCTGCTGCGCTGTCTGCACACTGAGCGCATCCGGCTCATAGGAGTTGAGCACGTCCAGTATTTTAACGTCGCACAGCGAAGTGGTGCTGGACTGATAAAGCAGCTGCATGGTCTGGTACGAATTGGACACCGGATTGCGTCTATACTTTTGCCGGCCGCCGCGCACGCGATCCAAGCGCACACCTTCCTGCAAGCGACCACATATAGATTGTTGAATGAGTACCTTCTGAGGAGCTATTTATTTGGCTTTACCTTAAGCATGCCCATGAGCAGGCACTTCTGGAAGCGGCAGGCCTGGCACGCCTTGCGGCGTCGCTTGTTTATCTCGCATTCGTTGTTGGCCGGACACGTGTATTCGATGTTGCCCTGGATGGTGCGCTTGAAGAACGCCTTGCAGGCCTCACAGCTGGCGACGCCATAGTGGAAGCCCGATGCCACATCGCCGCACACCAGGCACAGGCGACGCATCTCATCGCGCACCGAACCGCTGCCGGCACTGGCGCTGGCGCTGCTCGAGTTGTGGGCACTGGCGCTGCCGTTACCGCCGCCGCCGCTGCCGGCGCCGCCCTTGTTGCTGTCGCCATCATTGCTCAGTGAGACATTGTGCAGATCGCAGGAGAGGGATGTGGTAGAGCTGCAGAGCTGGCGCTCCGGCGAGACCGAGGGCGAGGACTTCATGCCGCTGTTGCTGTTGCTGGAATTGTTGTGGCCGGTTGTGGTTGCCTTGGAGCTGGGACTGCAGCACGAATTGCTAGCGCCGCCGGCCGATGATGTGTCCACCTCCTGTTTTATGTGCAGCACGCTGACGCCGTCGGACATATTCGAGCGCGAAATTTGAGCTGCAATAAGAATAGTCGAATCAGCTACTCCAATTGGCGCGATTTGAATTGGTTACTGATTGGATTTCAAATGTCAAAAGTACACGGTCAACGTTGCAGCATGATAAAAGCAATTGCTCGGCTAATTATTAATGAACGTAAAAAGCAGCGAAAAAAAATAAAACAAATGCAATTAGAATCGCGCAATCCACTCAAAATGCAGTTAGAATTACGAGCTTCTCTCTCCCTCACTCTCTGAGCGTCGCCTGCTCGCACACACGCTGTCATATGCGCTATCCCCTTTCGAGCGTCCAATTGGACGACGCTCGGTGCGGTGGAAAAGTACAATAACGCGATAACGGTACTATGCGTAGAGTGTTTACACTTAGCAAATAATTAACGGTTACGCTACTTAATAAATCACGACGCTACGGCCTGATTATAAAAAGAAAACAAAAACAAAATGGCCCACAGCTTCGGGCTATAAACTTAAATGCGCGCCGCCTAGCCAGAAGATGCACGTTTTTAGTGCGCGTTCTCATTTAATTTCTTATCAGAACTCAGGTGGGTGTGTGTTTGTTGATAATAGGTGTAGGTAGTAGCGTTTATACTTACATAAAAATTTGTAAAGATCTTGATTGTAAATGTAATCAGCGAACGTGCTTGTTCCACACAGTTTAATTGTATTCCAGTGATCCAATCAGAACTCAGTCAACACATTTTGATACATAACGCACATACATACATACATACACTCATGCATATGCATTTATTTTGGTTCGAGCACTTTGTTATGGCTTTTGTTGTCTGCGTGTGTCTGCATCGTTTTGTGTGTTTGGCTATTCAGCAATTTTTGTGTTTTGCAAACGTTGCTGAATTTGTTGTTAGATATCCTGTATTTCCTGTTTTACATTTATAACTATTATGCATATTGCATTTCTTTTTGGGCCCATATAACTTTTTCAACTTTGTCAACTGGCAGGTGCTGTGTTCGCATCGGTATTAATGTGGTGACTTTTTGTCATTATCCAAGCACAATGTGAATTATACGTAGGCTGCGGTTATTGGTTTATCATTTTTATCTGTTTACGCTAAATATTTACAGAACTTTAACACACTAAAATAAATATACATATATATATATATATGTGAAATCCAATGTCACTATCGATAGAAGCTATTGCAAATATCGCACCACGACTATCGTTATTTCGTGCCCCGCATATCGGTGTCATGTATCGATATTTACGATTTCGAAATATCGCAAGCAAATTAGGCCCATACCTAGTGCAAAACATAGCAAAAACAATTGCGCGATAGAAATTATTTGAGAAATACAATTATTTAGCCAGTTTTAACAATAGAACCATTGTACTGTGTTAGTGCACACGCTGTCCAACTTTTTGCCCGTGCATATAAAGTGTTTTTGTCAAAAGTAAGTAAATGCCTTGGCCATACGTGTGCATTTCGTTTGTTGTTGTTGGGGGTTTTTATCAGCGCTCAACCCAAAATACACCTTTCCATATGTATCTCGCTTTGTTTGCGCTTTCGTCTAGTACGCAATCGAATATGTTCGCCCAGCCCATGAGCTGTTGCATATTTTAAAGTTATTTCACGTTTCAGCGTAATAGCTAAACGGAGCCACAATTGCCTTTGTTTAGCATTATGATACCCTGCACCCATTGAAGACGAGTATAATGGTTTTGTGCAAGCGTATGTAACTAGGAGAAGTTGGCATCTTTGGGCAGCAATATATATGAAGAAATTCTTTAACAGCCAAGTCCATACAGCTGTGTCCGCTCCTTTGTCTGATTACAGGGTATCAGCTAGTAGGGTATCTTCTGTAAGTTGGCTACACGAACTAAAGTCAGCTCCGCTTTTGCAGGCCAAAGAACACAGCGACAGACAACACAATGATGAGCCTGCTAGGGCGACCCGATGTGGATGCGGGCGAGGTGTTTGTCAACTTTAATCAAAACATAACGTAAGTGTTCAGTAAAATATGATATATATTGAATTAAAATCTCGTTCCATTTAGTTCACTGGCAGTGGCCACCAGCGGCAGCTACAGCCTGTATAGCCTGGGCTCTGTGGACTCCACGCTGGATAAAATCTACAACACAAAATGCGATGATCTATTCTTGATCGAGCGTCTGTTTGAGAGCTCTCTCGTTGCCATCGTGTCGCAGCGTGCGCCGCGCAAGCTGAAGGTGTGTCATTTCAAGAAGCAGAGCGAAATCTGCAATTACTCGTACTCGAACACAATTTTGGCCGTGAAGCTGAATCGCGAACGCTTGATTGTCTGCCTGGAGGAATCGCTCTACATACACAATATCCAGGACATGAAGGTGGTGCACACCATACGCGACACGCCCTGCAATCAGTTGGGCTTGTGTGCGCTCTCATCCTCGTCGGAGCACTGCTATTTGGCCTATCCGGGCAGCGTTACGGCTGGCGAGGTGCAAATATTCGATGCCATCAATTTGCATGCCAAGACAATGATACCCGCACATGATACACCGCTGGCGGCGATTGCGTTCAGTCCGTCGGGCACGGAGATTGCCACGGCCAGCGAGCGTGGCACCGTCATACGTGTGTTCAGCTCCCAGGACGGCAGTCGACTGTTCGAGCTGCGTCGCGGCCTCAAGCGTTGCGTCTCGATTGTCTCGCTCTCGTTTAGCACTTGCGCCGAGTATTTGGTCTCCAGCTCGAACACGGAGACGGTGCACATATTCCGCTTGGATCGCAGCGCTGCCGAGAACAATGACCATGGGAAACAGTCGAGCGACGATTGGATGGGGTAAGCGAGCGTGCTGCTTCTTGTCACAGCTTTTGTTTGTCTGTCGGTTACGGTGTATATACATGCACATACAACATATATACACACAGTCTCTCACAATCTTTCACCCATTTTGCGTACAGGATTTTATGTACAATGAAAGCTTTGTCAACAGACGGGTGGACTTCTTCAAATAATCTTTCCATATTTCTGAATGAAACTTAAAAGTATTCAAAGAAAACATTTTCATATAAACTTTTTCAACAGATTTTCCCCTGATTTTCCACATTTACTGGTAGAAATACCCAAATCCTAAAGTTTGTTAAATTTTGTATGTATGTAATTATTCCTTTAATTTTAGTTTATTCTTTGACATCTCTCAATCCTTAGCTGTCCGCCCAAGGCAGTTTTCGCTGTATTTAATGTTTTGTTTGTTTGTTTGTTTATTTTTTGTTTTGTGTGTGGCGCTTGACATTTATCTATTTTTCTTTTCTTTCATTTCTTCAATCAACCAACAAAACCAACCAAACCACCTACAAACCACAACCACAACCAACACCACCACCACCACAACCACTCATCAAATCTATTCTCTCATGCAAGTTACTCGTTTTTTAGATTCTTGAGCAAAACGGTCACCAGCTACTTGCCCACGCAGGTGACCGATGTGTTTAGCCAGGGGCGGGCCTTTGCATCGGTCACCCTGCCGGAGGCGGGTGTGCGACGCATGTGCGCCATAACCACCATACAGAAGCAGCTAAGGTAGGTCTATGATTCACTGCTGCAATATCTAAGTCTATCTATTAAATGCATATTACTTTCATTTATAGACTATTGATTGCCTCGCAGGATGGGTATTTGTATGTCTATTCCATACCCTCGATTGAGGGCGCAGAGTGTCAGCTAATAAAGCGGCATGATTTGCGTTTGGACGATAGCTATGCCATGGATGTTAAAGGTGCTTAATAAATGTATTTACTACACACACACATAGACAATCACACACACATACGTTTGCAATATCACAACAAATTATTTAGTTGATTCAACTCATCATGCTCTAGGTCTGAACAGTAATGTTTCCATTGGCGGTGCGGCCGGGGTGCCAAGTGCTGCCGCCGCTGCCGCGGCTGCTTCTGGTGGTGCTGGTGGCGATGGCAAATCTACTGAAAAGCCGGGCAGCTCGACGGGCGGCGGCAACGCAGGCGCCAGCTATGCCTCGGCTGTTAAGGGCGATGAACCGGCTGGTGGCGCCTCATCCTCCACTTAGGTGCAATTCAAACAACAACAACAACAACCGCAACTGGTAGCAAAAAATGATATAGGAAAAGAAGAAAAACTCACTCCTCAAAGTACTAAGGACGACGATGATAAAGTGATTGGATTTGGGTCATGCAGCTGGCGACGACTTTGGAGGCGGTAGCTCTGTGGCGTCAAACAAAAAATAAAGTAAATAAATGAATAGGTCTTAGACTTAGCTTTTAACGTAATCAATGATGATTCTTCCTCGGTTTATAAGTAAAAAAGTTAAAATGCAAAAAAAAAAAAACCCCTTAACGCATAAATGAGTGAACACGCCCTCTTCCCCCCCTGCCGCAAAACAATTTTTGTTAGTTATAAGTTCTGTTCGTGGCGCTGCCATTAATAGGAGAAATGCTTTTGTCATACAATCTTAAGTTAGCTGTTATATTTTTTAATAATTTGAACATTCAAATTTCTTATTAATAAAATTGCCTTTGTAAATTTACATGCATATATTTTTCATTTGAGCCCTTGACAATCCACCGAAAGTTAATAATTTGCTGTAATTTTTGCGTTAATTAAAACAATACTCAACATTAGCACACTTATTGTTATATTGCCAATTTAACTAATATTATAATTATATCAAAATAATCAAAGTAACAAGAGATTGAGTGAAAACATTAAAATTGAAGAGTGTGTATTGGAGGAACAATTTTCGGCATATATAGTAAATATATATACATATATTTTGTACAAAGTCAAACATTTTAGAACATAATATTTAAATCAGTTTACAAAAATCATGCGCTACTTTATTGTATTCAATAAATTACATATTTGATTTAATACAGCAACCGCTTTGACTTTTGAATTTGGCGGGCATTTGCAAAAACAACTTTCCATGCTGTTTAGCACTAATCCTAATTTCCTTTTCAGCACTGCAAGAAGTATCGAGTATTATGTACACGAGTGCCACATAATATACAGAGTACGGGAACAATTTTGTGTTGTTAATTATGTACACGTACTTAATGCAGCTTTTTTAGGAATCACAGTTGTTAGGAAAACAGAATATAGCGTATTGTTGAATAAATAAACTATACCTGATTTAGTACATTTGTACTTCAGATAGCAGCAAAGAGTACTATTAAAGATCGATGGTATCGATATTTTTGCATCATCCCTAGCGAGAAACCGCATACAGTAAACACACACACACACACGCTCGCTGAGAAAATATAAACAGTGCTTCCTCTTGATACACTTTCATATAATTGTTTATGGGACTTGTGCCCCAAGTATAATGAAATAAACTCGTATTAACTGCAGAATAACGCGAAGGTTAAATTCTAAAGAGCCGAGCATGAAGGAAAACAACAAGATCCTTCAGTTGATTAACGTGGCATGGCGTGAACGCTGGACAGACTCACAGTGGGGCATAAACATAAAAAAGGTGATTTATACATGTTACAAATCCCAAGTTTACTGTGAAATTGATTAGCTGTTTACATTGAGAATTTTTGAACAAGTTTCGTATGCACATATACGATCCCTCATTTAATTCTTCATCTTCCTGACGCCACTCTTATGGAACTCAAACACCGGATCCTCAGCTTGTGCCAAGGCCAAGACAAGCTGTCGCTGCTTCATGGATAGATTGCGCGGTATGCGCACCTTCAATGTGATAATGTGATTGCCGACACCGTCACGCGTCCGCACCCCCTTGTTGTGCAGCACCACCTGAGTGTGGGACTGGGTGCCAGCCTCGACGCGTACCTCGACGTTCTCGTAAAGGCCGCGCACCGAGAAAGTGCCGCCCAGTATGGCATCCGAGATGTTCAGATGCTTGTCCGTGTGTATATCATTGCCAATGCGACGAAAGTAATCACTTGGTGGCACCTTTAGGGTATAGTTAACCCGTTGCTTTGTGTTCGGATTATCGATTTGGATCACGTCGCCGGCCATCGAGCCGGATGGCACGGCAATGAGCACCTCGACATTGCCCGTTACATAGCCACGATTCTCACAGGTCTCGCAATCATTGCGATTAATATACCGCTTGCCCTTGCACTGGCCACAGGTGTTCACCGCGGTAAAAGTCACTGTTTTTGTGGTCACTTTCCCTGTGCCGTTGCAGCGCCGGCACGGCTCCTTGCCCAGATCTCGATTGGCCATCAGCTGGGACTTGCCCTTGCAGCTTTCGCATTTGCGCAAATAACGCAATTCAACGCGCTTCTTACAGCCAACCGTCGCCTCCAGAAAGGTCAAGGGTAAATCGAACTCGCCGCCAGTTAATTTTTTAATATCTAGGAGGAGGAAAAGGGCTCAGCATATTGGACGAATATCGCTGTGGGATTTACACAACACGCACCATCTGGACTTTTGCCACTGGCATCGTGTTTCCTTGAGCCGAGATCGATGTTCATGGGATTGCCAGCCTGTTCGAGAAATGCCTGCTCATCCTTAATGCCGCCCAGCTGATCGTATTCCAAGCGTTTTGTCTCATCCGTCAATATGTTGTAGGCATTGGAGAGCTCCTGGAAGTGCTTCAGTTTCTCCTCGGAGTGCGTCGAGTCCGGATGATAGCGTTTGGCCAGCGCATAGAAGGCGCTGCGTATTTGCTGTATAGTCGCATGCCTATTCACACCCAGCACCTTGTAATAGTAATCCTTGGGCAGTCCGCGATGCTGTTGCGGCTTCAAGGTGAGCGCCTGCCTGGCTGTCGTCGGACGTTTCATTTCCGACTTGCGATCTGGATAGTACACCTCTTTCTTGGTGCGAAACTGATACTGACTGATCAGGCGCTTCCACAGCCAACCGCTGCTGCAGACAACCTCGTTGTTCGCCGCCAGCTTAACACACGCAGCGCCCACAACTGGACGCCGTCGAAATGATCCTCTCAAACTACTCATGAAACAACCCTGAATGCGTTGCAAATTTAAACGAAACATCATTTAACGCGTAATAGAAAATTGAAGAACTATATGGAACTATACAATATTTGATGTGATTGTCTGGTTTTTGTTAATAACTTGAAGATTGTTGTTTGTTTTTGTATGTTGTGCGTATAGGTACCCCAAATTTTAAATCTATAATAGTTCAACTGAATCCTAATGACATTTTGCTCAGCTGGCACTAGGTTGACACAGCTTCCTTGAAGATTCTAATTTAGATCCAAGGCAACTTGGGCCTACGTCAATCAGCCCGTCAGTTGGTCGATTAGTGAGGAGCGGCACATTTCATATTAAGGCCAACATTAGGTTGTCTTCATGCACATATTATAATAAACTTAAACATACTCTTACCTTTACTTTCAGGTCCTACCGCGCGGTGTTAGCGGCGATGTCTACAATCTGGCGGATTGTCTGCTGCAGCAGGCGGTCATTGGCTCCACAGCGAATTCGGTGAATATATAGATAAACTTCTTGAACAATTTGCAACATCCGTCTAATCCATTTGTTCTCCTTCTGCAGCTGGTTTTGAACTATCTGAAGCACTCGCTGTGCGCGCACCTCGTCTCGCATGCCGCGGTGCTGCGCTGCATAGCCAAATATGATAAACTGGGGCGCGTTTATTGTGTGACCGCGTTGCTGGAGTTTCTGGTCAGCATCATAGACGGCATCACCTGTCGGTGAGTCCCAATTGTTTGCCAAATAAAGATTCAGTTAAAAGCTCTATTCTTTGTCAGCATCAAATCGGAGGAGTCGCTGCTGCCCGGCGCCGTGGTGCAGCTGGTTTTGTGGATCATGCAAATATTTGCGCGCACCTTGCAACAGTATGAGATGCGCGGCGAGATGAGCGCCGAGCAGTCCTATATGCTGGACCAGAGCTGTCTGCTCATCGAGCATCTGACGCAGCAACAGTTCGTGCTGGCCATGCTGAACGTGGGCTGTCACGAGGAGTTGGAGTCCCTGGACAGGCTGCGTGATCTCTATGCCAGCATCAAGGCATCGCTAACCAACTCCAACTTTACGCTCAGCGCGGCAACTGCCGAGCAGCAGCTCAAGCAGCTGGCCTACATCGATGCCAAGCACTTGGAGCTGCAAACGCTCAACCCATGCCCCACGGTGGAAAAGATTTCGTGCTGTGTGCAACCATTGCTCGCCGTTGAAGTGCTCTTGAATCCCTGCAAGGACACCTCATACTATGTGGCCGAACTTCAAATGCTGCAGCGGCTCAAGGGCTATACGAACACACGTCTATTCTATGAGATTATACGCGCGGGTTTCCTCACGCTCAGCAATGTGGCCGACACCAGTCCGGATACGATGTGGGGCGCCTTTATGTTCTTCAAGATGCCGCACATTATCAAGCAGCTGCATGCGCTGCAGCGTGTGCCGGGCGAGCAGCCATTGGCAGCCACCGACTACATACCCGAGCTAGTGGAGGCACTGGAGCTGCTCATTGAGGACAATCTGCTGCTGGACTTTATGGACACCAAGTGTTCGTGCAATATTATTGAGTTTCTGCTCAACGACTGGACCAAACAGCAGCTGGTGAACGATGTTCATGTCAAGAAGTTCGCCAGCCAGCGGTGCGTATACATTCAAACCAGTTGGAGTTCTTATTTAAGTGTCCATTTGTTGCAGTGAGGCCGCCTCGATGCTGCTCAAGAAGTGCGACAATGGTCAGCAGACGCCCTCGAACATTAATTTCATAAAACGCGCCGAGGTGCCACTTTCTGGCGTGCTGAAAACGTTGTGCACCAACAAGCTGCCGGATATGGTGAATGTGCTCTGCCAGGTGCCAGTGGGCAACAGCTTTGAGCTGATCCTATCTGTGGCCACCGTTGAGGGTCGGCTCAAGACGTTTGTCTCGCGTCTGATACAGTGCAACGAGAACTCCAAGCAGCTGCCCGGTGAACTGGGCAAACTGTCCGTCATACGCTCCACGCTGTTCGATGTGTCCTTCCTGATGCTCACCAGCATTGTGCAAACCTACGGATCGGATGTGAGTGCTCACATGTAGCTTCTATTATCGTATCTAATGGTGATTTTTTAGGTGGTGCTGTCAGATCGAGGCGACTCCTTCTTTGAGAAGTGGGTGCGCGAGTGCATGATGGAGCGCAATAAGCTGAAGAATCCGCGCCAGATCCTAGCGCTTTGCGATGACAGCATAGTGGACGAGCTGCTGTTGAGTCTGAGCAAGCCGGAGGCAGCACAGCTGAAACCCAGCAGCCTTACCTGGCAGGACATATGCCTCAATCTGCCCGGCGTGCTGCATCATGTGCTAATTGCCTGGGAGCAGGAAACACTCTCCTCGGCGGACGTGAAGAGCATATTGGACAACATGAAGCGTCGCCTCTTCAGCTTCACAGTGTGTGCCACCTCGTTCCTGTGCGCGTACATGTACTCGGTGCGTGAAACGGAGCTGCTGAAGCCTTTGAATATGATCCAACAATTTCTGGCACCGCTCACCACCGAGGAGCTGTCCAGCCAGGAGAACTCCAAGGAACGCCTGGCGCTCTCCTATCAGATCATACGCAAAATGCAGCACGATGTGCATCCGGCGCCCAACACCAAATCCCGTCTCATATCCCACACGCCGCTCATCGAACAATTTCGCGAATGCTGGCGCTGTGTTGCCGAAGCTGGACATTTGCCGGTGCGTGCGGCACAGACGCTGGAATCGTTGCTGCTGGCAGGGGGTGCCTCCTGGCTGGTTACACAGCTGGTGGAGCAATTGCTCAGCTGCAAATACATGCGTGACATGGCCAAGTGCATGGACATAGTGTTCGCTGTGATGCATTTGGACATCGAGCGCAGCACCGAGGCATTGCTGCAGTATGTAGTGGCTCCGCTGATCCTGCGTCGTCAAGGGTGCGTGCCATGGTGCAATTATGCCACAACGTGATCTTACTAATTGCTATACATCTCTTGCAGCGAGGACATCAACGAGCCGCAGTCGCTGGTGCTGGCGCGACTCTGTGTCTACTGCATCATCTCCTGCCTGGAGACGCGTAGCTCGGCCAATGCCGCCGCAGCTGCGCTCAAGAAACGTTCGCGCTCCCACGACGAGGACGAACTGCAGGGCGTAGCCAACGCGGCCAAGGTGCGCAAAGTGATTGGCGATGGCAGCAACGAAAATTCCAATGATTTTGCCGACGGCAGCGGCACAAATGTGGCCGCCATGCTGAGCACGCCCAGCGCTGAGCTGCGCGCCACACCACTCAATCTCAAGGAGCCGCTGCAGTCCAGCGTCAAGCACATATTCCGCGTCTTTCTGCAATTTGTCAGCGGCGACGAGCTCTCGCCCAAGGCCGTCTTTGTCTATCAGTTCATCTCGCTGCTGGTCGAATGCGGCGGTGAGCGAGTGACGCCCGTATTGCGACTGCTGCCCGCGAATCTGATGCAACAGCTGCTCAAGGTGCTGGCAACCGATGATATACGCGTGGGCCTCATTAGTCGCCTCTATGATCTGCGCCTGCAGGGCGGCCGGCAGGCGGCTGTTGCCGATTTGTGCCTGTGGCGCAATATGCAGCTGGCGCGGCACAGCATACACTTGTGAGCAGTTGGGTTGGGTCAATAAGACTGGCGCAGCATGTTTAATTGATAAATACTAAAATAAACTTATATATTAAAAACAAGAATAAGTGAATACATTCTTGTTTCTTTGATTAGCTAATGCCAACACAATCATGTTCAATTGTAATTAAATGATATGAACTAAAATGCCAGCATGTCGCATTGCTTGCGTATTATCTATCAGCTAATTATCAATTCGTGAAAAACTTCACATTCGTTTTCTTTTATATCTCTTTTTTTTTTCTTTCTTTCTTGTTTTTGTTTTCTTTTGGAGCTGTCTCCCTCAATGCATTACAAACATGATGACAAATTTATATTATGTATGTTGGCTTTAGACTAAAAAAAAAAGTTGCTGACTCGACTCGTTTTCGGTTCGCAGTGGTTGTTTTATTACGATAATTTGTTGTTGTGGTTGTTGTTGTTGTTGTTGCGACCAATCTGCCTGTTGTTATTGTTTTCGTCCCATGCCCGCTGCTTGTTGTTTTTTGTATAGAACTAATAAAAGCGCACTCATCATCATTGAAACATTGGAGCAGGCAGCAGCAGCAGGCAGATGCCGTTACTTAAATTAAAGACTTTTGATTTCCTATATCACTTGAGACAGCATTCAAAGTAAGTCTCGCCAACGATACCTCCGCGCATTGCCTTCTTTACATTATATTCAAATTGACGTCGATTGCTTTGCAGCACATCGGCGGCTTCCTTGTTAAGCGGATCCTCGGGATTGGGTTCCTAAAATCCAAACGGAATGTTAGTAGAAGCTAAATTACAGGCGACGCTTCGTTCAGTGTTGCCAATGCAGCTATTTCCTAGCTACATATGGCCAACTTTCAGCCTAAAACAGCCAAAATTGAACTGATTTAGCGTTTTTTGCTAACATTCAGCTATTTTCAACATTGGAATCAGCTATTTTTTTTTAAGCAGCAGTTGGCAACACTGGCAACACATTACCAAAAATAGAAACTGCAAGCCATAGACAATGGAATTGATGGTCAGCACTGGATTCCAGTCCTCGCGCAATATGTTAAGGCACACATTGCCCTCCAGATCGATGTTGGGGTGATAGACTTGCGTGGCGCACTTCACCTTTGGCGGCTCGTGCGGATAATTGGAGCCCACGCGAAAATTAAATACGAAGCGCCCGTCTCTGTAGAAACCTTCGTCCGGTGAAATGATCAATTTGAAGTTGAGCAAATCATCGCTATCTGGAAACTCCGTTGCACAAGTTTTGGGCAGGTTCAATTCGTTAATATCTAAAAGAACATTATATTATTAAGAAAAGAAAAACACAAAGTAATGGGCGCCAAATAGCCAAGAGATATTTACCTTTTTGTATGCGCAATTGTGCAGCTGAAGCCTTCTTTTGCTGGCCACCGCGAGCCGTCTGATCACCATCCTTTTTTTGTTGTTTCAGCGAGAAAAGTTTAATCATTTTGCTATATTTGTTGGCCCGCTTGGCGCTTGCTCGCGTCGTCCGTCTGCACAGCTTCCACTTGTGAGGTTCAGCGCTTCGATTACAGGCTGGCCGTTTGTATGTTTCTGCTTTTGTGTATCAGATTGTGGGCATGTTTGAAGTATACAATTGTTTATACGATTGCCATTTATATCTTTAATTTTGTGTCGTACCTTAAAATTTTGGTTTGGTTGTTTCAAGTGCTTGCTTCTTCTTGCTCTTTAGCTCTCAATTTCTCTGCCTGTCACTCAAGGTAGCGCAGCGAAAACAATCGATTGCACTATCGTCGGCCGTATATTCACTGTCATAATCGATATGTTAAAAGAGTTGCCACCTAACGCGTTTGCTATCAATTAAATGCGATATTTTTGGTAATTTTGCCACACACTTTACTGGAAACAGTTAAAACTAAAACCGATAAAAAGCCATTTAAATGAAAACTCATTTGTTGTAAACAGTCTACTCAGTTGTGTCTATCGATAGTTCATTCGATTGTTTTTCACCTGCACATGTTACGAACAACGCGCAAAAACAAAAAGGTTTAATTGACAATGTCAGCAGAGCCCGAAATTGCCAAAGATGCAGTTCTCAAGCGTAGCGAATGCATTCCGGCAGACACGCCTCAGGTGCACGGCTACGATTTCAACCAGGGCATTAACTACAGCAAGCTGCTGGAGTCCTATGCGCACACCGGCTTTCAGGCCACGAATCTTGGCCTGGCCATAAGGGAAATCAACAAAATGGTAAGTTGTTTTGCTTTCTGGAAACCACACTACACAATACTATATACAGGCAGTTGGATTGCAGGGCTCAGCCGCTGGGCGCTGAGGAGCAGGATCTGCACGAAACGGACGAGTTTATCAGGCGGCGCACCAAATGCACCATTTTTCTGGGTTACACCTCGAATCTGGTATCGTCGGGCATGCGAGAGACGTTGCGTTTTCTGGCCGAGCATCGCATGATCGACTGCATTGTGACAACGGCCGGCGGCGTGGAGGAGGATTTCATCAAATGCCTGGCGCCAACATTTATGGGCTCCTTCGAGCTTGCCGGACGAGAGCTGCGCGAACGTGGCATAAATCGCATTGGCAATCTGCTGGTGCCCAATGACAACTACTGCAAGTTTGAGGATTGGCTAATGCCGCTGCTCGACGAGATGCTGGAGGAGCAGCGCAGCAAGGGTACCGTCTGGTCACCCTCACGCATCATACACAGGCTGGGCGAGCGTATTGCCGATCCGAGCTCCATATATTATTGGGCGGCCAAGAATCACATACCCGTCTATTGTCCCGCTCTAACCGATGGCAGTCTTGGTGACATGATGTACTTTCACTCGTTCCGCCAGCCTGGCCTGGTTGTGGACATATTATCGGATCTGCGGCGACTCAACACGATGGCCGTCAAGGCAATCAACAGCGGCATGATTATTGTGGGCGGCGGCCTCATAAAGCATCACATTTGCAATGCAAATCTGATGCGCAACGGCGCCGATTATTCCGTTTTCATAAACACGGGCTCCGAGTTCGATGGCAGCGACAGCGGCGCACGACCGGACGAGGCGGTATCCTGGGGCAAGATACGCAAAGAGGCCACCCCTGTCAAGGTGTACGCCGAGGCCACTCTCGTCTTTCCGCTCATTGTGGGCGAGACCTTCGCCAAACGACACTTTAGCCAGAAAGAGGCCACATTGTAATTGTGTATAGAAGTAAATATAGTGAATATGTTCCATAAACGACCATGGAAACTAGTCCAATTTTCTGCTGGTCGCATTCTAACAACTACTTTGAGCCACAATATGGGCAACTGCTCCAGTCTCCAAAGTGTCGTGTGGGGTGGGCGGGGGCACTAAGAAAACTGCCCAAGCAAAGTTGTTAGCCGCAGCGGCTGCATTGGCAGCAGGAAGCCATTAAGCGTTGTTCCCTGTGCGAAGATGTGCAAAATGTGATAAATGCAACAAGCGGCCCATTTTCAACTCCAATGGTTAGTCGCAGCTAGAGCTGGGCGCGTGTCGTGTTCGTGAGGAGGGCATCGTGCTCGTGTCAAGCAGGGCATAGAAACTAAAACAGAAGTTAATATATGCTGAATGCTGTTGGTAAAATTAGCTAATATAACAGTGATTGTATTCATTTTCAGAATACTTCCTTAAAAATGTATATAAAATTGATAGTAGAATAAAACATCGAGGTACATTTAGTCAAATAACTAATTACTAATGTATAAACAAAGATGACAAAACGAAATCTCGATAGTTTTTTTTTTTCAACTGATAAAATAGAACTTATTTTAGCAAGGTTGACATGATAAATAACAATATTTCGTGCGTTATTCGTATTCGTGTCGTGTTGAATATATCGAACCATCTCTAGCTGCAGCTCTAGCCGCAATGCTTCTTCTTTTTTATAGCTGCTTCTACGTTATAATGGATACGTAGTGCACTTTGCTTTTTCGCTCCTTGGCAGTAACGGCGAAAATGCAACTTTTGTATAACGCTTTGACAATAAAACGAAAGTTGCTGTCCTCGCTGGCCGCGGCTGCTGCCGCGACGCCCCCCGCTTACCCACAAGCCGTAGCAGTAGCTTCTCGGGTTTTTGTCAAACGCAAAAAGGCAACTAAGTCGTTGGCGTAATTGCTTGGGGTTTGCTGCGCACATAAATTTTCTACCATGCTTCTGCTTTGGCGACTTTTCACTTTTGTCACATTTTCCCGCACAGACCTCGCGCCCCGCCGCTTTCTGCTTAATAGTCAGAAATTGTTTTGGGAACAATGCATTCGCATAAGCTCACAAATTTGTCATTAATTTTATGTCGGTAATGTTAGTCGCCCTCCGCAAAGCCAGGATCTCAAATTTTATGTTTATGGCCCCCCCCAGCCCCCCTCATCAGTAGACCTAACGGTAAGCCCCTGCTGTCTGACTAAAGTTGTCGCTGTCTGTGCGCGTCATTAAAGCCGAAAAAAACTTTTCGCACAGTTATTTCTTTCGCCGCATTCTTTTTCGCCGCGCTTCGACAGTTGGTGTTACATGTTTTGAGCTATTGTCATGCAGCGCGGGTGGGGAGGGGGGAGAGGGTTGCTGCATTTGCTTTGCAACTTTTTTGCAGCCGCAACTTTTATGTTCGTTTTTGTTCTTGCTGCAAATATGACTGGATCGGTCGCTTGAAGTTCAGCCAACCGTCATGTACTTATTACCAAATGCTCTGCTTTATCAAATTTATGAAAATGTTCGGAATACTTTTGGCAACAAATGAGAGAAAAATGAAATTTCGCAATCGACAACGTTTGAACTTTCGCTCTATTTGTGTCTATTAGAACGTGCTGCAGGTGTGTATCAGGTAGAGGGCTGTCAAATATGGAAGTTATTCCTTTATTTAAATTTCTACCGTTTTGTTTTAGACCTTTGCAAGGACACGTTCGGTAAGCCGTAGAGAAGAATTCTTGGTTTATATTCATAGAAATGTGGCCTAAAAGTAGCTTATGTATATTTAATGTAGCATACTTTTTAGTGCGGGCACTAAATTCGTATTTTAATATTTATTGCAGCATACTTTTAAGCATGCTAGCAAGGTGATTTTCACTATTCAAAATCTGCGTGACACATTTCACTTTGCAAAACCGAACTTAAAACTGATTTATTTACGAAACTGAGCATGCAACTATATTAAATTGATAAATAAAAAATGTTGCATAGCCTTTAACTAGGTTGATTCAATAAATGTGACCTTACTGTATTCTAGTTTTTGGGGCTGTTGAGAAAGTTATATGCTAATATTAAGAAGTGTTGCATACTTTCGTGAGCAACACTTTTATTAGCTTATAGTTCCCACAGAGGGTACGCCCAACTTATGGGACTCCACTGTAATGCATTTCTTAACGTAAGAGAAATAATTGCCTCATTCAATCTGCTCTAAAATAATTCTAATATAATTTCAAATTTAAACGTAAATTAATGCTTAATATTATTGCAAAATGATTGGAGCTACAAATGCAACAGCTCAGCGACTGCACTGTGGGCACGCTCAATTTATGGGACACCACTGTAGAGCAGTTCTTAGCGCAATAGAGAAAATTGCAGTTAACTATAATCCAGCTGCACTTTGGCTGGCACCAACTGCCACAACTTGCGGAAAACTCTTGGCAAGAAAATCAATTGCACTTATTATCCGAGCGCCATTATCGGCAGCCACACAGGCCAGCCCGGATTGTCGTTAAGAAGTGCTTAACTGCATGCTGTCATATCTAATGCCAGCCACACACACACACACACACACAGTGCTTAAAAACTAATTACGAGCAAAGCTGTTGTTGTTGTTGTTGCTGTTGTTGTCTTCCGCTCAGCAGGCCAGGCAAGTGCGTGGCAATACGTTCCAAGTTGTGCTTTGTTTTTGTTCGCATTTTTTTTTTCTTCCGTTGTCCTGGCCAAGTTTCCAGTGATTACGAGCAAATTAAAACTACATTAAAAGTTTGGCGAGTCCAGTTCCTGGCAATTGACAGGCACGCGCACACACATGCACATGTGCAGTGCTGCCAAGTTACGCTTAAAAAACAGCTGAAACATATGTAAAAATAGCCAAAAACTAGCTGAATTAGCTTGCTGAGCGTAAATTGGGAATATAGAAGGCCAGAAAAAGGCTAAGTTAGCACCGGAAATAGCCAAATTCAGCTGGAAATTGTCGAAATGGGTAGCACTGCACGAGACCTTCGGCTTTTGTGTGTTTCTTCACAATTATTGATTTCGGCAATAAAAAATAAAAACAATCTGGCGAACTGTTAGCAGAAATAGTAGAAAATATATAAGTTTGTATATATAAAGGGGCGCTAATTGTCAGTTCCTAACATTTGGTGCTGAACTCATCGTTCTTCAGAAATTTCTCCTTCAACTGTTCCGTGGCGTGCGGCTCACAGTACTGGCACGTGCGTTTCTCGTATATCTCCTTGGTCATCACCTGCCTGGAGCGCTGCACCGACGTGGATGCAGTGGATGGTGCCAGCTGCTCCCTCTCGGCCTGGCACTCGGAGCAGCCGCATGTGCCGCTGCCGGTGCCGCTGCTGCCGGCTCCATTTCGTATGGTTTGGGTCTTGGCGCTGCGCAGCAGCTCCTCGTATGGCGGCATCTGTTTGGCCTGGCAGCTGCTCGCCCTGGGACTGGCCGGGGGGGCTTGGCGGGAATCGGACAAGTAGCATTGACGGGTCGCCGAAGCTGCCGCCTGCTGCTCCCAGAAGATCTGCTCGCGCTGCTTCAGATCCTGGACGTGTGCCTGGAGCTGCTGGCGTGCCTGGATCAGGGCGCGCTGCTCGTGGCGCAGCAGCTGCTGCTTGCTCTGGAGCGCCTCCTGCTGCTGCTTGAACAGCTGATCGTAGAGCATGCGCACATTCTTCTCGCGCCGCTCGCCCGCCTGCTCCAGCATATTGTCCAGCACGGTTTCCAGCCGGCGATCCAGCTCGAACAGCTGTTTCCGTGTTGCCGGCTCATCGTCCAGCATATCCTGCAGGCAAATGTGTAGAAAATTCAATGGTCCACTGGCTGCTGTCCATTCCCGTAGCCGGCGCATGGCCAGCAGCATGCCGCGCTCCAGCCTGGGCAACAGCGGCGGGGCGCGCGGCTTGGGCAGCTCCATCTGAGCCGGGGTCAGGCGCTGCTGCCAGCTGGTGTCGGCCTGCCTGAAGCGCTGCTCGTTCTCCAGGGTGCGCGCGTGCATCAGGTTGATCTCTCGGATTAGTGCCTGATTCTGCTGCGTGAGCAGCTCGAAGCTGGCATCGGGCACATAGCTAATGGATGGCCCGGCGCCGCCGCCGTCGCCGCTTTCCAGGCGTTCCAGCTCCGGAGCGCGCGGCGTAAAGCGATGCGTGCTGTTGCTATAGCCGGACAGATTTGTTGTCAGCGCCGAGGCCGCATCCTCATTATCCTGCACATCCAATTGCAGCTCCGGCAAAGCCAGAGGCAATGACTCCGGCACGGGCTGCTGCTTCGCTTCGTTGACCGGCAGCTCCTGCAGCTGCAGCTGCTCCGCCTCCTCCTCGTCCTCGTCCTGCTCCTCCTCCAGCCTACCTTGGTAGTCGCTAAGCACCTCCTCCAGCTTGCGATTGGCGTTGTCCAGTTTGGTAAAGGGCATGCCCAGCTTGCCCATCTCCCGCAGCTGGCCATACATGAGCAGCATCAGACAGTTCCGGGCATATTTGTCCCGCTTGCCCGCCTTGTGGAAGAGCTGCAGCCAGCGCTGGCTAATCATAAAGTCCGACTTGCTTATCCTATTCGAGTAGACGTTGCACATCATTTGCAGCTGCGACACGAAATGTCGGTCCAGTGAGTTCTCGTTCAATTCACTCATTTTGACCGATTTTTTGTTTTTTTGGGAGCGAACTGATCTACAGTTTTATGTTAAGCCAATTGTTTGAATTTTTACATCGAATCTACGAATTTTTTTATAGGTTTTCGAAGTCCTGTTGAATGTCAGAATGTGAAATATCTATATATTTCGAATAACTAAATAAGCAGGGAGCCCAGGAAGCTAAGGAGTCACAATTTAATGATCACTAAACACGACATCAAAATCTGTAATGCTTAGTTGCATTTTTGAGAATCGCATAGAAAGGTTGTATTTGCATACTGCGCACTTGAACGGGTAAGAGAGTGTAATAGAGAATTGAAGAGCATCTGAGTGAGAGAGAGAGAGAGAGAGAGAAAGAGGAAAAGAGAGTTCGAGTAATAGAAAGCGAGAGGCAGAGAGAGACAGAGAGGGAGAGAGAGAGCAGAGAGTGAGCATA